CACAAGCAGACCACAGCTATTCGATGAGTTTGACGGAAGCGTTGCGCGCTGCCGGCTTGCGTTTCGTCCAAGTGTTTTAAGGTGCGCCATCGGTGAGCTACCGCTTCTGCTTAGGTGCGGTTTTGACACTCAGTCGGGTTTCGTTGCCCAGGTCTTTTGAATGCGGAGCACCCTGTCCGCCTTACCGCATACGGCTACACACCGCGCCCAAATAGGATATGAGGAATGGATGGGGAATGCTATCTTTGACCGTTTAAAACGTAGGTTAGACCAATTCAATCGTTCAGCGTTACGCCATTTCTGCAATATGCAAATCCTCCCTGCGTCTTGTCTTTTTTCAGTATGGCATGGAGTTTTGCCAACACACGCGAAACAACGGTTTGTGCGAAGTTCGTGTGGAAACCAAGCGTCACATGGACACCGTTCAGCCAAAGTTGGTGTATCTTGTACATTACTTGTACGTTTGCACCGATGTCGGTTGGCTGAGGGTATCCTTTTGTTAACGTCATGTGTACCTAGGCCGCCTACAAAGTGCCAACAACGGTATTTAATTCTGGTGTCGGCTTCAATTTAATGACAATCCCCGTGGTGGATGTCACCCTTGGTAGAACGAAGAAGCTTTCACACCCACGATGTTGCAAGTTCCCGTTCCTATTGTTGAAGCTCTCGTGGCTGTCGCTTACCATTTTTGCAACCTCACAAGAAAACGTCCCTTGAGTCAGCCAGACGTACCTTGCGCCTCTGCTGAATCATCACGTCGTTGGAATACCATGCCAACGCTCGATCGGTGCGCCCTTTGTATTTGTTTCTGGTCACAGGCGGAGCGGACGACGATCGCGAGCAAGGCGGAATCAGTCGCGGCGACCACCGCAGAGCGAGACGAGGCTGAGGCTGGCGTTGCGGAGGGCGAGACAGAGATCGGTAGGGCGGAGGACAAGATAGAGAATGGCGGCACTGCACAGGAGGAGGCTTGTACTGCCAGCTAGCCAATCGGTGGAGCCCCTTCCCCTTGTGTTGAGTAACTCTGGCAGGAGAGGGACGGGTGTATTTTTTCATCGGACCGCCTTGTAAACGGCTGACCAATCAGAAATGGCGCGGGTCTTGGCGGGACTAGAGACAACAATGTGGGTAGGCGGGGGATTTTCAATTGGCAACGAACTGCGCCAACCGGCTGGCCAATGCTATGTAAGATGAATAGTGTCACATAGCAAAACAACAGTCTTATCGTTCGTGCATGTATCTGTGTGTGTGTGTTGTTGTTTTTTCGTCGACCGCGTTAGCGGGCAGATCAATGAAAAGACGAAAGTCTTGTACCCGGACAACGCACGAACATGGTTTTCTTTTCCGTGGGCTCTCTCTCGGGCGCGCACGTGTCTTGTATTGCAAGCAGTGTCGACCGCTAGCCGGCCGGCCAAAGGAATAGACGGCAGCCCTCAATGGGGACAACAAAGTCGAACACACGTGTATCGTGATTTTCTTTGATCGGCAAGGACCCCGCTACCACGCTGACTGTGATTCAAAGAGACCAAAAAGTAACGGGGCTTGATGTGGGGGGGGAGGGCAACGAGTCCAGCACGTCGCGAGTGTTTCTTTTTGTAAGGTCTGACTTCCGGGGAAGTGGGGATGCCTCAGACGAACCTGCGCATGTTCCCATGTAGAGAAAGCGATGTGAATTTTGCCCGCCGAATGGCGGCCCTTGCAGTCCATTTGGCTGTCGAGAGCAATCGAAAAGCAGCGGGGTAGCATGTACGGTCTGTTCGTGACTCCCCATTTACGAGCTTTTACGCCCTCTGATTGGTCGAGCGTTGGTTAGGGCCGTTGATTCCTCGCCAATGCCCTCTCTCTGTTCCGCATTCCGACAACGCGGCGCAGCCGTTTTCGCCCAGTTCGCGGCCGCTAGGCCGTGCATTGGCCGTGGGCGAGGGTTAGTTTTTTTTTTTTTTTTCTTCACTTCAAATCAGCGCTCACAGCACTAGTGCCGTTTATTCCGACCCGTGGTCACACAGAAGAGTCCCTCTCTACCCTCCCCTCCTGCGGTACTGGCAAAGGGTTGGGTTGGGTTGGGTCGACCGCGGTGTGTGACACATCCCGTGAACGGAGCTACGGTTCAACATCCGGTCAGACCGAAAATAACCAATAACCTCTGTTTTCGCGCCCTCTTGGTGTGGGTGTACGGGGTGTAGATGTAGGTGGTGTTGTATTATTCGGGGCTCAGCAATTACCTCGGTTTTTGAGCTCTGCTCTGGAATCTCGCGAAAACAAAACATCCAGTAATACTTTTCCAATCCGAATAGGAGTTTCTGCTTCGTAAACTGTAGGGAAACAGCTGAACTGGGAGAGTCATTAAGCTCTCTTGTAAAAAGGAAACCGTGAAATTTAACGCGAAAACGTCTTCCAGAGAAGCGCTTCTGTAAGCGTGCAAAAAGAACCGAGAAGGAAAACAACGCTGCTGTACCACGACCCGTGACCGTACTCCGTACTACATCTACAACGGTTTGCTGTACACTCTCTGTGCACGCGCGTGTGGATGCTGCAACATGTTATATGTAAATGGATGTGCGGATAAAAATCCTTTGCGGTGAGAACCCCTTTCCTTGGGCGCCTCCTTGCTGTGCGTCGTTCAGCATCCTGATCATGTCAGATGGTATCAAAAAAAAAAGCGGCGGGTAAAAAAAAACAACACCAGTATAGAGCCGGTGTGAGTGGTGGATATCGCGTGTTTGCGACAAAAACACAGCAGCAGTCTGCGGCAAGAGGTTTCCGATCTTGGTCGTCCCGGACGGGAACCACCCCACCACACACAGAATCCCACCAGCGCCTGACCCACAGCTGTGTTTCCTCGAGGATCGTGAAACCCACATCCAACGTGCCGAGACCAAAAGACGTGCGTGCACAAACAGGCAGCAGTTCATTCAAGTGGCGGCTTGGTATTTTTCGATGCCAGACAAACACAACAATGGTGATGGTGGTGGTGGTGGTGGTGGTGGTATGCGAGGGAGGAGGAAGCGAAAACCGAAGTCGAGACAACAAGCAACGCCGAGTACGAATATGGTGGGACGAAGTTCAGCAGTCTTGCGAGAGGCAAGCGTGCCGCAACCCGAGTGGAACAAAAACGAATGGAGGCGGTGGGATGAGATCCATGGACATGTGCTCTGGATGGGTACTCTCCAGGTATGTAATGTGCGAGGCGAATATTTTACCCGCGCAGGCGGTGCACCTCAGAGATACATATCCACACAAAATAGCAGATCTTGTCTGTGGGCAACAAAACGGGAGAGAAGTGCTTCTAGCTTGTCAGCTTGCCTTGCTTTGGCATGCTGGCCTCTGATGAGCTCTAGTCTATACTATAGTGGCTGTGCCTGGCTCCTCCATAGTCTAGACATACAGCAACAGCGGTAGTCTACAGCAGTAGACTGCAGTGCTGTGGTCCATGCGTGTGCTGGGCGCCAATCTACATGTCATAAGTTGGCGCCCGCACCTCTTATTTGACCGAGGCTCATTTCTTATATCTTCTCTTGGGGTAGCCCAATAGCATATAGACTACACAGAAGACTAGAGTAGTATGTAATCTAGACTATTTTAGGTTTTTCGAAGCCTTTGTGAGTGAGCACTTGTTCAAGTTCTCAAAGTTAGATATACCATAGCAAAAAAGATATGTATGCATCTTTGTGGAGCACAACTGTCGATGTCCAGTGCCTACTATCGCAATATCCGCACCGGGACTACTGTAACTACCGTATGTAGATATTGCGCATACAAATGTGAAGGGCATCATCACCGTGCTTATGTGCATGCGAGCAAGACGAGGACCTCAAGGACATCTCCGTCGTTCTTTCCCTAAAATAAAAGAGAATGTTTGGGTCCCCCTCTTGTGTCTATCGTGGAAAACGCATCATCATCGGATCCATCCAGGGTCCCACCGCCACGTAGAGCCATTAGGCATGACGTGCTACCAATTGAATCCCGGTTATTATCGTCATTGTCGCCGCTGTGTACGATTGTTTTATTTGAACGTCGCGCTCTATTGATGTTTTCCGTTTGTAGGCTGAGTGGAGCAACGCAACAATCGCAGGATTCTTCCATCATTACGGTAAGAGCCAATTACTGAAGTGGTGCAATATTGCAAGCATTGTGGAAGATATCATCAACGCGTGCTGTCACCCCCCACAAGTGAGAAACGAAACGGAAGGCGATCGAAACGATATCCCCCCGTTCAATGGTCGTTCGTACGGAAGACTCTACGTAGATTGTTCCTAACTCAGTACTGTAGTAGTCCAGGACGACGTTGAACTTCACTTTCTTGTTTTCCGGAAACTCATACAGCAGTATTTCGCGTTTTCTATCAGGGGCAGAGGTTACGATCACACGCAAGGCCTTCGACACCTATTGCTTCGTGGCGTTCGCGAGCACGCAGGAGGCCAAGCAATTTGTTGCGAAATACAACCACCACCCGCTGCGTGAGTACCATTTCACGTACAACGGGGTAGCAGCCGCAATACTTGGGAGAAATATGAAGCGCATCATCTTGCATGGCTCAAAACTTTCGCAAGAATTTTACTGGCCGTCAAACAAAGTGCTATGGTGCCTGCGCGATGGGGGCTTCGTCGGAGGAACCCCGGTAGTCGAGTTCACCGAAGAGATGTCGGTTGAAGAAAATAGCATTGATTGTGTGTCGCGTAGACCCAGCGGGAGAGGGGGCACCTGATCACAGAGAAACATTGATTCGTTTCGAATGGATGTGCGGCTGAGGTTTAGGCCCCGTATACAATGTGACACGTACGTTAGATAACAGTGAGGTAAGCCTTTTGGGGATTGTAAAGTCATGGTTCGGGGGCTCGATCAGCGTAAAAGCAGAATACCTCACGGATCTGCTCCACTATTTTTCGTCGTTCTCGTTCCACGATTTCAGTCCTGACTTCCCCGAAATGAACAATACCACGCGTTCGCTCGCCTGACGTTTCCAAAAACCAGCTGGAGATTTAGGAAAGGGCATCAGGTTCAACATCCGACCTCGAACGCGCCCTCGGTGGTACCGACAAACTGAAGACGGAGGCAATAGCACCGGTGGTGGCAACGGTAGGGGTGGGAGAGGCCTTGGCCGCAGCCCCAGCCCCGGCAACGGCAACGGCAACGGCAACGGCAACGGCAACGGCAACGGCAACGGCAACGGCAACGGCAGCCCTCATGCCCGTCGCACAGAAGACGGACAAATCGGGCGGGGCGGCGAGAGGCGGCAGCAAGTTCGGAGAGTCAAGACACAAAGAGGCCCTAATCCATGTCATCAAACTCGTCAAGCTCGAGGAATGGGAAGAGCTAGATCATCGGATTGTGAATACTACGGGAGGGGGGCAGGGAGGTTGGATCTTGCGGAAGGTAGGCCACGTCAGGGTCACGAAGAGCGCTCTCCTTGGACGGCGCTGTCTCCTCGGCATCAGCTAACTGCCGGCCATGATCGCGGTGGCCGCTTGGAGGTGCACTCTGCTCGCCGGAACACCTGTCAGGTATCCTGGGAGGGGCGGGAGGGATGTTCACAGTCCCGCCCGAGGTCAAGGTCGAGGTCGAGGTCTCGCTCAATGCAGCGGCTGCGGTCTCGGTCCGGGTCTTCGTCACCCAATGGCCGTCGCCGCAACAGGGGTCGAGACGGCAACCACGCCAGGTGCAACGAAATGAGCTGAAAGTGCGCTGTACTGTTGATACTGTTCTTTCTCGCACTACGCGCCCGTCGTAAAACCTGAAGCTCACGGGAGTGCTAGAGTCATCAGCAAACAGAATAAATGACAGGGGACACGCACGATCGAAGAATACACGCCAGCGACGAACACTGCGTGACGCCCAAAGCCCTATCAAACACCACCTGAGCTACTGCGTGCGGTGTGGCTTCTTTCCAAGTAACAGCACAACATGGCCACCAGGAGGTCCACCAGGCATTGTCTTTTCGCCAGAAATGAAAGTTTGTGTGGCAGTTTTAGTGGCAGGGCAAACGCTGCTCTCTGGGCGCCACCATTGCTTCCCTTGGATTGGAATTGCTCTCCTAGTAAAGCACATCAACATATTTCCTTTCCTCGTGTTTGGTTTGTGTAACATCAACATGATACATGTTTGCCGGTGTAACTCACAACGCAGGGGGCCATTGCAGGCCGAGCAGCCCACTTTGCCGTTAGGTTACCAAATCATGACCCAGATGAGGATCCGGATCTCGGCTTGCCCTCGTGACGCCGAAATCAATACGATATACTCTGTACTGGCGTGTCACGAACTGATTGCCGGTTTTCGTTCCCCCTCACCGCGGCACCTCGACATAGACTTAAGAGCGGCGGAAGATCAAGCCCTGTACGGGGCGGAGAAAGACAGCCACTTGGTGGCGAAAGGTTCGGCAATACAGGCAGCAGTGGTGGTGACGGCCGCGCGGAACGGATCGACGTGGACGACGCGGAACGTACCGTCGTCCGAGGACAGGGAAGCGCTCGCTGGCGGTCCAACTCCGAATCGGGAAAGGAAAGAAGGTATGGCTGTAGCAGTGGTGGTGCCGCCGAAGGGTCTGGACGCGGCGGCCTGAGGCGCACCGTACGACGTGTTGAAAGCAACAAAGGCGAACGTTTCGCTGGTGCCAACGGCATCCAGGACGCCGGCCATTTGCTCGACCGTGAGAACGACTGTGAGAAACCCCCTAAGCAAAGGGTTGCTTCGACAGTTGACCAAGGGTTCGTCGGAGGCGAGGAACTTGAATCCGATGGGATCGCCGTCCCTGAGACCGACTTAGAGTTGGACGGGACCACGAACGTCCCGCAACGACCCGATTCCGGATGTCATGAAATCGACCAAGAGGGAGGTGTGGAAGCGCACCCAGGACAGGATGATAGCCTCCCTTCGCCCCTCAAGGAAGGAGGAGAGGGTTGCAACGGCATCGGACGAAGCAGTGCCGGGCTGGTCACTGGAGGATTGGATCCTCAACTGCCGAATCAGCAGCAGAGTCCTACAAAAAGTGACGAGGAACACTTCGCTCAACAAGCCGATGACTTGGAGAGAGGCGGAGGAGGAGGAGGAAAAGCAGGGTCTGTTAACCAACCACATATCCAAGGTAAGTCACAAAACCGACAGTGCAAGAGATTCCTGGGGGGTAAGTACACAATATTGGGTTGAGAACACTGATGAGTTCGAGACCAATTTCTTGTGTTCGCGCAGATGCTCGTCGCCACCAGGACGAATCAGCGCAAGAGGGGTCCGACCCGACCGACTGCCTGGTGAATCAGCACTGCGGCAAGGGAGCGGCGGAAGACGCTACCGACGCTGCTCAGGAAGAGGTTGAATCGGTAAGCAAGCAGACGGACACCATTTCTTCGACCTCCACGATGGTTCATGAACTTGATCGCCCCGGTTCCAGAGAAGAGGAGGGGTCGCGCTTTGCCTTTACGCAAGACGAAGGGGATATGAACAGGGGGGATACGAGGTGCAGCAAAACGTCAGCCCTTCCTCCCGCCACGGCGACAACGAAGCTTCAACGGCATCCGCAAGCTGGCACGTGTGTGGGTCCCCCGACTGGTAGCAGTCCACTATTTCGCGATCCGGCGGGAGGGTTGGACAGGTCTCAGAAAGACTCCAAGGGAGGTTCAACCAGAAGCGCCGCACGCTACGCTACTCCGACTAGCACTGACAGGGGAATAATCAGAAGTCGAGGATGCTATGGAAACTACGACGGTGGCCGCTCGGGTGGAGTAAATCAGAGGTCTTGCGAACGTACGGCCCGGACCTCGAAAGGTTCCGAATCGGGTACCAAGAAGAAAGTGGCCGAGGCGCGAAGGGGCACCAAACGCCGAAGCACCGCCGACGTTACTCTCGAGCAGGTCATCGACCACCACATGGCGCGCCGCCGTTTGGATGGTGCAGCAAACGGTCTTGACGGGTCCCGAGCGGGACCCCACTCACGTATCGGGAACACCTCCTCCCATAGTACGGGAGCAGGTACCGATCGTCTCCGAGGCGAGAACCCACGTTCGAACGGGAAGCGGCCGTCGCCGTGCTCTGTTTCGGACGGTGCCACCCTTGTGGTGGCCGCCTGGTCAAGCGGGTGTATCTTACCCCTCACGGAAGCGGCAGCGCCTCACATGCGCCTGGTCGCGCCTCTGTTGGCCGGCGAACCCGAAGGACGACGAGTCGTCCTTCGTACGGCTGCCGCCGTCGCCACCGGTGCCGCGAAATTGGCGCTGCCTCAACACCGCGTGGAGGTGACGGGAGTGTGGCAAAATGGACTATTGTTAGAACTGTGCCCGGCTCCACTCGTCGAAAGAGAGGAGGGAGAAGCTCCCGCGCCATTGTCAGCACTTGCCGGTCGGCTACAGGCTGCTTTTGATGAGATAGTGGCGGTTGACCTCGAGTTCGACACGGTGCGGCTTTGCCACAGGGAGGCTTTGGAGAAGCTGGACATCGGCTCGTCTTCGGAGGAGCTCCTCAAATGGTGCAATGAAGGTACAACGGACCTCATGCGTTTCGCCCCGGTGCCATTTGCGTCTCCCACAGTCGACCAAGTACCCGGGAGCGGTGGCGATTCTCTTGACCTGGTTGAGTTGAGAAAGGCGCTCGCGTGCCCGGACGGGTCGCCGTTCATCGGCATCAAACACGGGCAATGGCCCTTGTTGCCCAGGACAGGTGTACTGGGGTGCTTCAGCGTGAGTATTCACCCCATGGTGCTCCCTCCGCCGGGGTCGACAAGAGGAGAAGGTTGCGCCCGCCAAGAACCTGCCGACTACCTCGCCTTGAGCTTCTCCGACTCGGCCGTATTCAACACCAGCGGCTCGCCACGTGTTCTTCGTGGTGACGTTTATCAGTCCATCGGATCTAGCGGCAGATACACAGGTACCAGCTCACAAGGATCAGCATGCAACGCCATCGGGTCCGACGCGGCCATCACCGATCTTTCACGGCTTAGCGGTAGTGCTCGACTCGAGTGCGTGTCGCCCACGTGTACTGCAGACAGTTCGACATGGAGGGATATCACCGGTTTGAGGTGCGTAGCGGCGGTGAACAGGCTAGCCCTCGGCTCGCCGACGGACCTCGAGGGCGAGCTACTTCTAGCCGAAGGCTTGCACACAGACCAGGTGGGTGATAACGGGTGCAGACTCTAAGTCATGGGGTGATCACATTGTTTCCCGGTCGATTGTCACCCTCGGTCATGAATGTGGTCATTCAGTCGTTCTCCTGCTTTCAGCGTTCTTCTCTTGTTGTTTTCTACGAAACAATCGTCGAGGAAAGTCGACAACAATCTCGGCTGACAGTCATTCATCTAGAGCAACAGAACAATCCGCATCTTTCTTGAGTTAGAGTGCACCCCCGACAACGCCTGAAGCCTTCAAGCAGGGGTCAGACATCCTCCGAATATCCTTGTTTTCCGTGCGTAGCTGGGAGCGCTCGCAAGGACAATCATCCTCTCCAATGCCCAGTTGGTGATCCTTGCGGGGCGTCAAGGAGCGTCAGCGGACGCGGTCGCCTCGCGCCTCTGTGTCGAGCTCGCTATCAAGGGCAAGAGTCCGGCGGTGGTGAGAAGACATCTGGTAGTCTTCGTTGCTTGAACACATCAATCGTTCAAGAGCTAATAATTCCAGCCAAGAAGCCGGATTTGGTGTAGCTCGTCAAGTACATAATTGGACGGCGTTGATGCCTAATAGGGGTCCAGTAGCAAATAGAAGCCGCTCCTTGGACGGATTTCCTAAAGCGTGAGTCTATTTTGTTAACGGTGTTTTGGCTCATTCAGCACCATAGAGAAATAAACCAAGATTGGCCATCGAATTAGCAATGAAAATTCTTCCCAAACTCAACGTGCTCGTGGAGATGTCGTCAGTAACAACAATTTCTCAAAAGCTTTGCCTCCGTTTCTACCAAACCATACACAGGTAAACACTCAGAACTACCGTTGTCCGGAGGCACCAGAGGCTCGCGCTGAAGCATACATGGGTCAGAGTCAACACCACGCCAGTTCCTCAGCATCTGTGTCGAACCAGCAACTAGACTCGAGAGCGTTGGGCAGGGTTGTGGCTGCCCTTCTCGGGAAGGATAAAGACGGGGGTGGTTTTCCCAGTGGGAATAACAACAGTGGTGGGGCAGTATCGGACGGAAACGCTGTTGCGGGGGCGAGGGCGACCTCGCGGGGGTGGCACGACATTGTGGTCGTTCATGGCTGCAGTGCTTTAGATGCTGAGCTTCTGTCAATGGAGGATATCGGTCTCCGCCCGGCGAAAGCTATCAAAGTGTTTGTCGATGTCGTGCCTCAGGTATGTGCGTCGAGTCTTGCCTCACACGAGCGACAAGAGAGAATCCCGCAGAGACGATGTAAAAAGTGCCCTCTCCCCCACATGTGGGCACTACAGTGTGCGTGCGATGTGCACGACTACTTGTCCGTGCGTCGTACAACAGAACTACCGTATGGCTGGTCGGGGCCGTAGTTGTCCGAGGGCATGAGCAACTCAGTTACTGCAACTGCGCGTAATGTTTGTAACAAGCACAATTAATTGTGTGTTCCGTTTCGCACACGAAAAACGATGGCAGGTCAGTGTTGACAACGTGACCCCCGTCAACGGTGCCGACGTTCGGATGTTAAGAGCCCTCCTCGCCGCAGGGGGAGGGTTTGCAAAGGCGGTGCAGGCAGAGGTTTTGGCCAACGCCGGCAGCGTCCGGAATATCGCCGAACGCTCGAACTTCGACGTAGCTAGCTTTCTCGAAGAATGGCATGTGACCGAGGAAAGAGAGCAGGGCCTCTGGTGGTCTTTCCAGGCAGCGGCGGATGTCCATATGAACACAGCGCTTCCTTACGACCTGAACGTGCTTAAGGTACGAACGGGTGCTGGCTTGCTTAGGTGCTTCAGAGTTGTCTACCCGCTCGCTGTCGTTCGAGAAACCCAGCCTAGACCACACCTGCACCTTCGCTATGGTGCAGAGCCCCCAAGATTAACGGTGGGTTTTGGCACAGAATTATCGGACCAAACACACGTTCCATGGATATCTCAAGGTGAAGGAAATGCGTGTCGGGGGAAATATCTCAAATCAAGTTGCATTGTCGATTATCTCGTTTCATTCAAATCGTCGTTCTATACGAATTTCTTTCTCCGCCTCTTCGCCCGGCATGCTTGCGACTACTGGAATCTCACGTCCACTTCCCCCACTCCCCTGCATGCGCTGCCGGAAATTGTGCCTTCGAAAACGACACGACTGTAGCCACTAGTGGAGCCTCTTCTACGGTCTGTTCCTCCCCCGATTGAGGGCAGCGATGGCGGCGACGGATGCCGTAGCTCAGCCTACGCCCTGTCGCGTTCGGTGCTACACATGCTTCAGCTATGTGAGGCTCTGCACGCTCAGTTGCCGGGGACATCTGTACTCCACGAACTGATCCGCCCCCGGCCCTCATAGTGATATGAGTCGTGATCCGGCGTCGATCACGAAGGGTGGCTATTTAAGCGGCTGCAAAAGGACCTGATCGTCCCCCCTATGGGTGGTGCATATCTGGGGCTTGCTTGTGATTGGGTGGTGCAATATCTGGGGCGTGCTTGTGATCAAGGCGATGATTTATCGGCGGACGCACGACAAAGTAGTGAGCGCGGGGGGGTTACTCGATGCAGTCTCCGAGACGAACTCAAGACGGCAGGAGGGTAAAGCAAACGGGGATCAAAATTTTATCTGGCGATTGGTGCATGCGTGGTGCAGAGGGAGAGGCTATTGACAACACCACGCACGTGATAATTCAACTGGAGCGATCGAACAAGGGAAAAAGTTCACGTATCGCCTTTGAGGATACGAGTGCTTGGTGGGAACTTATGTATGAATTCGTTCGAGGGCTTCACGAACATGGTTGGTTCCGTCACACATAAAAGCGACAAACGAGACGGAGGGGGGCTCTGCCGTTATATGAAGCCGAAGGCCCGCCTGTTTTAATCCTGCGCAAGTTCACGATGTGCGTCCGCGCATCAGCATGTGGACCATGTCTACTTTGCTGCCGCAGCATGCCATCATGGCAAATGACTACTTTGGGGCGTGTGACGACTATCTGAACCGATCGGCTTCGGCTCTACGAACAATTTCTACACAATATAGAAAGAGCCAGTTACGATAAATGCGCTCATGCGGTGTGGCCAATATGTGCTGAAGAACCCGGTCAAGTCTGACGGACACGCGCTCTTCATGGTATCATCGACCTCCAAAACGGCTGGCTCTGTGTGCTGGGTACCATTGCAGGGGTCAGAGTGGCCCTTTGTTGCTCGCGCGGTCTGCGGCATGGCTAAATATATATGTGACCCACAGCGCAACAATCTGGCGCACCGCCGCAGACGATTCGCCCCATCGACATTTCCTGTTTCTTTACCACCCACCGGCCCTCCATTCGACTTGTGCACAAGTACAACGCCAGGACAACAGGAAAGAAACAGCTTGTACATTCAGGTGTCTTACACCTTAGGTATCAGTGTACAAGTCAAGTTGTTTAGGTCAGCTGGCTATGCCACAAGAGTAAACACCGACTCCTTCATTACGTCTCGGCTCCAGCAAATCTCGGCGTCGCACTCGGCGTCAGGAACATGAACTCTTCACAGGGTGTGGAAATACAAGGAGAAGGACACAACTCTAAGCAAGGGTGCCCGGCGGGCTGTAGCTTGTAGGTGGTGGTGGCGGCAATTTCGCTGTCAAGAACCGTGTCAACGCCTCTTCCCCCCCGAACGCCGACCTCAAGCCTTCTTCCGTCGCTAGCGGCGGGTGGTACAGACGCCGAAATACGGACATCTCCCTCCTCGTCTCAGCCACAGCCCGACCAGGAGAGGACGCACGAGCAGCAACAGCAGGAGGCCCGCCGGAGGTGATAGTAGACCGGGGCGGCGGTTCCCTCAATACACCGAACGCGCTGTCGAGAAGATCAGGAACGACGTCCCCGGCGTGTGCGGCGCCGAGGCAAAACTCTTCCGCCAGATGTATGACAAGTGATATCGCCTGCAGGCGGAATGGCAGATAGAAGAGAGGCTGGGAGGGGAAATAGACCGAGACCTCGGACGGCTTTATTTGGTTTGTCACTCAACCAACTGCGACCCTAGCAACTTCTCATCAGCTAAACGGAAGTGCCTAATACGCGGCCAGCACCTTCATAGGATGACGAGAAGAGGACAACGGGGGTTGCTTTTGAGGAAGGAGTACGTGGAGGAGGAGAACGAGGGGATAAATGCCAATATACCGACGTGGCTAGACTCCGTGTGACACAGGCTTTGACACCTCACATTCGATATCTCGGAGAATAGTCGTTTGCGAAGAGGTTGGCTAGCCACCGGCCGAAAAATTCGTCATGATGGAGGGGAGTACAAGCCCTTGCAAAACTGCTCCGGGTCAATCCAAGAGCTGGTGTCCCAACATTTCTCGCTGTGAGGCCTCGTGCCCCACGCATATGCCGTGATTAGTCACGTGTGAACACCAAAACAGGTGCAGCTTTCGTTCTGGCAGGCTGACTACGCAAAATACGAAAGAACAAGCTCACGCGGCAGCCGAAAACTGCTTGCCTGAGACGGGACGAGCATCATCTTGACCACTGCACGGGCCCAGTACGGTGCCAGCGAGGGGTGAAGGCGGGCTCCAGTCGTCAGGCGGGCCTGCAGATGCAGGTTATTTCGAACAACCAAGCCCGAACGCACGAGCCATCGGTTTCCGTGTGAGTGCACGGCACCACTACAACTCATCAAGGACCTCAGCCCCGCGGCGACTCGAAAAAGATACCAAATACAACCCGCTACAGCTCACCCGCAAGATAGCACGGCGCCGCAACACTACGTTTAAAATAGTAAGTGTTAGATGTGGCTGGCGGTTGCGTCTCTACTTGTCCAAACACGAAGCTTGGCGGCAGCCCAAGTCAACACCGGTTGCATATTTTCTTGGCACCCAAGTGCGGAGATTGCTTTGGAACACCTTTTCAAGCACTTGGTGATGGTGGAAGGGTGATTGAAGCGGTGGGCGACATCCTCCACGCTTCGACCAGCACTTCCTCCGGTGGGATGCATAAATAAATTAATGTCTGCAACGGACGACCGCCGCGCCTAGAAAAACGCAACGGGAGGCAGCTGGATGTATGCTCCCTCTGAATCAAAATATACCTACAAGCGTGCGCGCTTGTTTTCGGCAGCTCCGGGAAGGACAAAGGCCTGGTGAAGCAGCTACAAATAATACGAAACCACCGTCCGTCGTGCACCAAATAGGTGGCCCAGGCCGGTGCGTTTGACTTCACCTGGATCGCCGAAAATACTCGGTCGTGTACGCTCGAAGGCTCCGTCGACCCGGCCAACCTCATCTCTTCAGGATTGTGCTGTTTCTGTTTATTTAGCGTGTGGGCATCGACGGCAGGCGCACGAGACAAAGCTAAGCAACAGTAGCAACGTGTACCGCAAATTCTGCCAAAACGCATGTGCGATGGACCATGGCCACGACAATAAAAACGGGACGGGGAGCGAACCCCGCTGTCAAACATGGGGGAAGGAGAGTCACCACGGGCCTCTCCAGCATGCGCCTCGAAATTTTGTTCAGAGCGTACCAGCGGTGTTGTAGCGCCAGAGAAGGTGCTTGACGTCTACATGGTTGCGTGTAAAAATCGTGCCAGACACGTGTCACCTAATTACCACTTCGCTCCCGCCGCACGACAAGACATGCCGGGCCTGCCTCTCTCCAACCCCACACCACCTCTCTCGTCTACGCGTCACGCCCCACCAATCAGCGCCTAACCTTTCTCGCGTCTAGCTGCCCCTTTCTCAGCTCTTCCCACACCCAAGCAGGCACTATGCCCATCCAGCCGCCTTCCCCCCGCCCCTCGTGTCGCTTCGCCGCTACTTGTGAGCAACCTCCCGGGGTGGTCGGGCCTGGAACGACGGAGGGGTGAGGAGCACGGCCTAGTCCCCGGTGGTAGAACCGCGCTCGGTACAGGGTGTACTCTCGGCGCAGAACTTCGTCCAGAAGACGCCGTCGTGGTTCGCACAGCTATGGGTTCAGTACATGTAGCGGCGAAAGGTGCAAGGGATCAGGGTGGGACTGGGGCACAGGCCATGAAAAATTCAATAATATTACTGTAGCTTTTCTGCCAACCAACAGCCCAGGTCGGGCTCAGCAGGAGGACCAACAAGACCACATAGCACACGGTATATAATGGCTGCGATCCAACTTTGGACAAAAAGAAGAACGCTAGGTTCGTGGCAAGGTGCGCTTGTCCACTGGAGAAAGAGATGCCCGGTTTTTATCTCTCTTCACACCTTGGACGCGAGGCCTTCGACGTGTTTTCCTCCAGCACCCGAGCAATGTACGCGTTCAAACAGTGCCTGCAGCAGTTCGCGTACGTCGAGGCCATGGGCAAGAGATGTCTGTAAGTAGCTCCATCATGTCCTAAGTTGCTGTAGCGTGCCGTGTCCAGGTAGTTCACATGACATGCCATGAGGAACGCCCCTTTTCTTCGCCAGGCACGGCAACAAGAGAAACATAGGTCGCGGTTTCATGAAGGCCTTGCTGACAAAATGGTGCGCTGCACTGACCAACCGACTGTAGCAGTACAACCACTCATGTACTCCTGCAACACACGCTCCATCAAGGCCTCACGAAACAATCAACACAACGGCCAACCGGCGGTGTATTCTCGCCTGAACAACGGAGAGGGAAGACACGGAGCCGAGACGTAGAAAGTGAAGCAAGCTCCCACCAAATCCTAGCCCCGCCGTCTCACTCTCCAAGCGACCGCATATTCCCTGATGCAGAGGGTAGCGTGGGGCAGGGGCACAGCACGCTACTGGAGGTTTGAGGAATGAACAAAATATGTAGCCATTGCCTGGATGACGGTCTCCCTGGGGGCGACAGGGACACGATGTGTGCGGCGGGGGGCTAGAAAGATGCCGCCCCAGGCATTGAAATAGCTTGTTTCGGGGTCAAGGAGGGAAATCGGTCACACACTCCGTTCAGCGATTGCAGATCACAGCGATAATTAATCAACTCAACACGTAAAGAGTACAGCAGAGAGATCGATGCGATTCATCGCAAGGATTCTCTCGTCATTTACGTGACATCCGGGTGATTGTGGTCGAAAGCGGGGCGGCTCGCTACACCTGTACCCAATAGTGCAATTCCTGTGCGACGGTGGTCTCACCTCAGGCGGTGGCAAGCCACCGTTGCCATCCGTGTGGGAACTCGAACCCACGCCTGTGCCCGCCGATCGTTGGCCATCTGGTGTGGAAGCAACCGCCAAGTGCACAGTCTGCCGTAGCGCCATCTCGCCGACACGCTCGCCCCCCCCAAAAATCGAGATCAGGTCCTGCATTGTTCGTTGATGTCGCCCAGATCAGACCGAGGGCGTGCACGGGAGGGTGCACGCTGAAGATGGGAAAACAATCGCGTCGTGCCTCGCGTGTGCAACAGAGGTCGTCAACGGCGTGCGTGCAGGTAGAGGCAACGAACTAAGACACGATCGTCCCTGACCTCCCTCCCCGCAAAACAAGACCACCGATGAATCAGCGCACGCAACCTGCTGGACCATGCGCCACGTAAACAGCGCCTGAGTCCAAAGAGAGGCCGACGACGGTTCGAAATTACAGGCCCTTGTGCGGCAACAATCATCAACCGCCCGATCACGTTCGACGGTGCGCTTCAGCGCTTGCTTCAGGGTGTACAAATCATCAAGAGCATACTCGAACCTTATCTGAAGACGCCAACTCGCTCGGAATAGGTTTGCCGAACCCCGGGAATCGGCGTGCCGATATTTCTCGGAGTTTGTCCCAGTCTACCGCGATCGCCGAGCTCGCGGTCGCCCCGGCGCCCAGCTGAAATTCTCGAGGAAGCATCGCCCTGCGCGCAAAACACAGCCAACGCCAACAGAGAAAGCGCCGACAGCACGGCAGTGCACAAGCCATATGAAGGTGGGGTAGCGGAGGGGTATGTCGGGCGTGAGGGAAGCCCAGCAACAGGAACGGTGGGTAGTCAGTCGTATGCCGCCAACCACGTGTAGGAAATTTCGACGCTCGTGCCTCAAGCGTAGCACGAGCAACACAACCACCACTTTCCCCCTCTTCCACTAGCGGGACATTCCATCTTTCAAACGGGTGGAAACAGCTACGCTTGACACGTTGCTCCAAGCTGTCATGGGCTGACTCGGCCTCGCCAATAAATCGAATACTGCTGTCCGAACTCTGTGGTATCCCGCTGCGGCGCGCAAAAGCCAAGACAAAACTGAGAAGTTAACGAGGTGGAAGTGACCATGTCGAAATCGAATAGAGTAAAAGCCTCCACCTTTCTCCACCACCGACGAACGTCTGGTTTTGCAGCTGCGGTTTCAGGGGTAGCCGCGGCCGTATGGTCAGGTCGGCAAGAACGGCCGGCAAGCAGCCATCCTGTCGAAGAAACGGAGGTGGAAAGGAAATTATCGTTCAGGGAACGCGGCCAACCTACACGATGAACTCAGGCAGTGCCCCTCGAACTCGGAGTCATTGCGTACACAAAGATGACCATGCCTTCACATGTGGCATCTTTCTAAACAGGACACTGACCAATCCTACCCCCTCATCGTGCCCGTACATTAACTAGCATATGCGAAAGGCCCAAAATTACCTGAGTTTGGCGAAACTCTTCAGGGGACAAAACGCCAGTGACGCCACCCGTGGCCGCGCCTACTCCCGCCCGTGTGCCGCCACCTCCGCTCGTGTTCACGGGGTACACGCACGAGCTGTCAACGGCGTACAGGGCTCCCGTGCCCCGGAGGGCGTCCCGTACCTTCTCCGATAGCGACAGCTGCGTCGGGTGGTAGCACTCGTCCATGATGGTTATGTGGGCACTGCCTTCCATCGGCGACCTCTTCGTTGTAGCTCCGGTGGCAGCAGTGTCCGATTCGCTGCTGTTATCAGCAGCACCGCCGTCGCGGCTCCCGCGGCACCAGCAGGTGAGAGCCGATGGTATCTCGCCGTCGACACAGGAAATGGCGACAAGGGGGACATTGAGCGCCTGTCCAAGAGAGCAAATCAGTACAAGCGGGGAGACTTAATCGTTACCAGCGCCCAAGCAGGTAGGGAGGACAACAACCGTTACGATTGTATCCTGTGAGAGTCTGTGAACGTCAAATCATCGCACAGCGCTCCACACCACCGCCTGCAACAGCACCACTTCTCCAACAGCTTGGCATCCCAAGTGCTATGCGGTCTTCGCGATCCACTGCGGGCGTGGAAACACTCTGAAAGAACAAACCGAGACAAAGAGAGAGGGGACAACCTACTCGGGGGAGTGTGTGTGTACGTGTGGCATGCTGAGGTTGCAAAAGCAGCTACTTTGGTACTCGATCGTAAGGAAGGCAAAACTAACCCGAAGCGTTCCTTCCATCTCGCACAGCGCGCTCGCTTCCACCGTCGTCCGAAAGGCAACTTCCTGCCGCGCGGCGTCGCGCTGTGCCCCGCCGGCACCAGGGGACAAAGGCGCTGACCTCCCGATAGCAGGATCGACGAACGTTACCGCCTGCGCGCACGAGGAAGCGTCACGTCAGAAAATCGACATGCCTGTTGGGAAACGCCTGCCACGATGCACACCCAGCGAGTGAAGCTCGAACCAACGTGTCAACGGGAGACAAGGCACAACTATCACACTTATTTCCGGTGTGCTTCGAGGCCCCTCAAGTCTACCCCGACAGGGCAACAGCGGTAGAATGATGCAGCTTGAGGTGGAGCACGCCACTGATCAAGGCAGTATCACCAGGAAGAAGAATTCCACCTCCGATACTGTTGTGGCCTCGCCCCTTCATCGCGTATGCACCAGCGCGCATGCGTGCTACCACAAACACCGCTTACGCTAGAAATTGTTTCTGCCCACCATTCCGCTCACCTGTAAGGGTAACTGCAATTCGGTGCTCAGCCACAAAGCCACGGAGAGGGCCAAATTGTCTTTGACGCGGTAATTCCCGCGTACCCAATACAATATCCTCGAGCCATCCTGAGGTTGTTTGCGGGACATTCAGGCGGTGGGCAATCCAGCCGATGGGCCACGTGTTGGGATAATTCGAGCACCCGGTTCTGAAGTATCTAAACACGTACATCATCTCCTAAGGGTCGTCAGACCCCTCCTGGCTTTCCTGTATCTTCTTAAATATGTGTGTACTGCTGTTGACGTCACTGGAATCGCCCCAACGTCCCGCTGCCCTCTGCCCTCCGCATCTTACCTTATAGGAGCACAAGTATCACCGTACCACCTCATGATCATACACTCTAAATAACCTCACACGGCCGGAAGAGGAAACGCGAGAACGGTGTACCGCTGCTACAACCGCCTACCGACTTATCCACATCACACACGGGATCCCTGGACCGTTACACCGCGCACCTCCCGGGACACTACTGCAGGCAGTGCCCTTAGGCGCTGCCTCCAGAGCACCCACCCACCCCTCCCTTCCTCACCGGCTCGCTAGGCTTTGGATAGTGCAGAATCCGGCGTCGTTTCTTCAAAATCCGGGGCCAGTCGTTGTGGAAATATCGGTTGCCTCCTCGTTGGGAGCTTTGGATACGGTTTTCCGCGCCTGCAGCCACTGGAGCCCCTCTATTGGGGGCACCGCTGTCTTCCTCCCGTCGCCATTCGCCCGAGCTTCCCCCGCTTCCCGGGGGGATCCCGGTGATGAGAGAGGCGAGAGGCGTTGGAGTCTTGGGCGTTGGCGGCGATACGGAAGGAACGCCCGCCGGCGACATTGTTGCCCTTCCGTCTGGTTGTAGTGGCACCGTGGACCCTCGTTTCAAGAAAGAAGCAACCACAGACGCCGCTGTAGCTCCACCACCTGCCACTCCCGCCCGCGCGCTGCTGTTGCCGGGCGCAGGTGCGACTGCTGCTGCGTCCTCTTCCATGGGGATACACTTTCCGTCGCTGACCGCGGGGGGCGGCGGCGCTCCGGATGTTGCCGTGATATCGCGTGCGGAACCATGAACGCCGGTGGCACGGCGGTCTGATGGTGCGCTCCTCGTTGGCACGACCGACACTGCTGGAGTGGCATCCCTTCCTCCCGGTCCTGCGATGATTGGTGAACCAAAAATGCCGTTGGTCGGAGCTGGAGACTCCACCGTGGAAGGTTCCACAGCAGATGCTGCCGGTGCTGTTGTAGCTGGTGCTGGTGCTGGTGCTGGTGCTGGTGCTGGTGCTGGTGCTGGTGCTGGTGCTGCTACTGCTGTTGTTTCTACTGACACGACCGATACTGCTGAATCGGTATCCCTTCCTACCGCTGCTGCGGCGATCGGTGAGCTAACAACGCCGTCGGTCAGAGCTGCAGACGCTACCGTGGAGGGTTCCGCCGCGGCTGCTGGCGGTGCTGTTCTTGCTGTTGGTGGTGTCGCTGATGGTATTTCTGATGGTGTTCGTGTTGGTGTCGGGGACGAGCGCGGAACATCACGATCATCGTTTTCCGGCGTGGATCCGATACAGTCGAACGAGGTCGGTATTGCCACCCTAGCAGGAGATGTTGCCCTGCCCTTGTCACCATCATCGCTTGCGCATGATGCCGACCCTTGTTGGAAGAAACCAGACGGGAGCTCATTGTTGCTCGTGTCAAGCGAGAAGAAGCCCGGAAAGGGATCACGACCGAAGAGACGTGCGCGTTTTCTCTTAGGATCAGGATTGGTATCGGTCATAGCGTCGTAAGTGTCTGCTGTTGTGTTCGAGGCAATGTCACACCATTCGAGTTGAGAGCTGAGAGCTGAGAGCTGGAGAGCTGAGACGAGTGGCGCGCGCGGCGGGTCCAGTGCCGCCTCGGGTCAAATAACTGTTCTCAGTTTGAAATTTTCGGTTTGCCGGAGGCCGCGGGAGGCAAGAGGGTTCCATCGTTCCATCCACCAACGCACAAAGATGGCAACATGCACACGCAATGCACCACCATCCAAGAGTATGAAACGATCGGAGCTCATATGTGTATTGATGGTGTGTGCGCTGGCATGCCCGAGCTCATCCTTCCTGCTCGACTGCATCCGAACAGCAAACACAGCACCAGCGGTAACGGCGGTGTTCTTGGGCCGAGGACGTCGTCCACGTCCTACAGCAGTGCAACGCGTTCGTTGCTTGCGAACGCAAACGAGAGCTTCTGCTGGTCTCAATCAGGACTCCACCCCTCTTGTTGATGCTTTGGCCGAGGCTGCGGGAAACGTACGGTCTCCCCTGTTCTTTCCGGGTCACAAGATGGGCAGGTAAATCTCTGTTCCTCGGAAAGTGCGTGGTGTATGAACAAGCAGCGTGACTGCCATCAGCCCTCGCGATTACACCCATACCGCTAGCAGAGGCTTGCGCGCAGCAACGCTTTCCAATGAGGATGTACATCCAGCTCCATGTTGATAAGGAGGAAACAGTGAGCATTCATGTTTGCACGACGTTTGCACCCCAACAGCACCTCCACACCTCCACCACATAAGAAAGTCCTACAATACAGCAGTAGTAGCGTCGTTAAAGTTGACGTTGAATAACACCCCCCCCCGATACCAGGAGATCTTGTTGAGCGCCCATGCATGCACCATTCGTACAGCAGTCGTACATATGCACAGTTTATTCGCATGCATTGTGTGTTCCACTAAAGGTCAGACGTACGCCTCCGATAAACTGAAAGAAGAACGTGCTTGGCTGTTCTGTCGGTATCAACTCAGCGGCGCTCCCTCCCGGCTGGTGGACTTGATTCTCGGAGGCAAGCTGGACGCTCTGAGGCATGATCTGCCGGAGCTGCCGGAGCTCGACAATCTCTTCGCGCCGGAGGTTCGACCATTTTCGCTTTTCTCTCTTTGAACAAGGACGATTCATTTTATCGGCAGCAAGAGACAGCGGGAGCACTGCATGTGTCTGATCGCCCAGTCAGGTTCTCACGGTTTACAAGTGTCGGTTTTCCCTATACCCCCGCATCAGGGACCGATCCGAGACGCGGAATTATTAGCCGCTGACGCCTTCGGTGCAGCCAAGACGTGGATGTTGGCAAACGGGAGGTGAGGGGACTTGGGGACTTGAGGCTAATAAATGCAAGGCTACCTGGGGCTGTGGCCACATCCTGCGTCGCACCATACGCCGGAGTGTCGCTGTTGTGCGTGTTGCATGTGTGTGTTTGTCTCACAACCAAGCGGCGATGCTGAACATGCTTGTCTGGCGTATTGGAGGCAACAAGAGACAGAGGGTCCGTGATTGGGCCCCCTCCACAGCAGTCGAGGTCCACCATTCGCGACGAACCACGATAAATAGGAAACGTTCGGCAGGGGTGCTGGACTACACAACAAATATCTGTTGGGCACCTTTTCAAACATTCAAATCAGCATTTTTGCCGACTCGCTCGTCGCCCACACTTCCTACCGAAAAAACTCCGCCGCGCGTCGCCTCTCGTGCATCTCTTTCCTCTCGCCGCGACGAACTAACATTTTGATGCTGGAAAAAAAAATAATCAGCACGTGCGGGGTCCTGGCGTCGATCATCGCTTGCGTTCAGTGGCATAACTCTCGCGCCGGGGGGGCACCTCTCGCCGACGCTCCAGCTGGAAGCGGTGGCGGCCGCAAAAACGTGGTTATCCTTCCCCGTGACGCGCACAAGTCGGCGGTACACGCGCTAGTCCTCAGCGGGGCGACGCCCTGCTTCCTGCCGCCCCTCCGCCACCCGGAGTCGGGAGTTGGCCTCGGGGTCGGCACGGCGGAGCTGAAAGCGGCGCTAAAGGAACACGGAGATGAGGTACAATGTATACAGAGTGCGCGGTGGGAGCCGTCCGTGGCGATGTAAATATGTAGTGCCGTGGTACATAGCAGGCCAGGGTTTGCTTTAAGGGACGAGTAGCCAGCGTGTTTTGTTGCAACCGGCCTAAAGAATTTCCTCCGTTTGACCACGAAAAACCATCGTCCCTTTCGGCATCATCGGTGGACCAACATTCGTAGCTCGCTTCTCTGTAGCCGTTTCTTAGGCATTTTGGATAGCAAATATCAAACATGCAAATATGAACACCCGGTCCACCTGGGCTACTATTCCGCCAGCCCATCGGTCCGGTCTAGGCTGTATCTGCATCATGTGCTCGCCAGCCTACTGTGGACAGCTTGGCTATTGGTACAATCTCGCGGCCTCCACGTTCCTTTCGGCCAAGGATTTCCAGTAGGGAAGGGAACATCTCGGGAGCTGCCCACATATTTTGTACGTCTCGACCACAGTTGCCGGTCCATGGAACACCCATGCTTTGCTCTTTGGGCAGGCGCGGGTTCGAAAGGCCGGCGCAAGGCCGACCGAGCACGTCTTTGCGTTTGCCTATCGACAGTCATCGTCGCGCAGGATGCCCACTCCCGGAGGCGCGAGGAAGAGAATTGGACGCGCTAACGCCCAGACCTTGCGTCGTACAAAATCTCCTGGTAGACGATTGGTGCCCCCTTCGCCAACTCTTTAGTAGTATTAATATTAACACACCGACGCACGGACAGAAGGTACTGGGCAGAGAGAACGGAACGGTTTTTAATGTGAAGACAACAACAACAACTGTTGTGAGAAAGTGTCGTAACAAACCGCGCTTTTCGCCCTTGTACGACGACAACCGCCGCCCGCTGTGTGGCGTAAGCAGGTGGCGGCGGTGTTCATGGTGTCTCCGACATACGAGGGCGCATGCTCGGATGTGAACTCGGCGGCGGAAGCCTGCCACGGGGCCGGCGTCCCCCTCGTGGTGGACGAGGCTCACGGGGCGCATCTCGCCTTCTTGGGCGAAGCACAACCACCGTCATCACGCTCATCAGAGGAGGAGGAGGAGGAGGAGGAGGGGGAGGAAGGCGGTCGGGACGAGCACAGAAATAACGGCTCTTTTTACCCACGGGGTGGGTAGAGGGACGTTTTCCTTCGCCTGGCTTAACGGATACAGCAGTGTGCCGCCGTTGATGTGGCCTTGTTTTGTGCGTCATGCCGTTGCGGCCACGTGCGAGTGTCAGTCGCTATTGTGCGTGCGCCGTTGGTGCATGCCGATCTGTTGGTTAAGGCGCGCCCCTTTCCCTTGTGCTGGTAGCGTCTATCGGGTATGTGTTTCAACCTGTGGACTGTGTAGCTGCACCTCCCCCGTCCCGCCCCCCCCATGTTGCTATTTGTTTCAACTTGTGACTACGGAGGTGGATTGTTTTCTGTCGATGTTGTTTTCTGTCCATTCATGGCAGCGGCGCTGCGGTGTGGTGCGGACCTGGTGGTTCAGAGCGCTCACAAGACGCTCGGTTCGCTCACCCAGTCCGCCTTCTTGCACCTCGGACCAGGCAAGCTTGTTGTTGTTGTTGTCGCTGTCTTTGTTGGCGTTGGTGTTCTCGTCGCCTCTCTTCTCTTCCATCCGCTTGAGTTGCGTCCTCCGGCAAACTCGAAGGTTGATGCTGTGCACATAGAGTCCGACCAGCTTGTGGAAAAGTCCCTCCGTGTTGAAGGCCAAGATCGACCCTGAAACAGAAACAAGTAAAAGGCACGTATTACATGTCTCTCATCTATCTCCGGTGTTCGTTGGTTCCGAGCGTTCTCCGAGTCGATAGCATAGGGCGAATGCACTCTCGACACTCTCGTAAAATTTTGTTTTTACCCTTTTTCAAGCGGCAGCAGTAGCATGCCTCCCTAGCAATCATCATTTCCGTTCAGTTCAAGCCATGCCCGGTGGAGATCACGCACCCACCTGTTCCCCAAAGACACCCGAGATGAGCTCATCCAATCCAACCCACACGACGCGAACTTGGCGTATGCCACGTCACACAGGCGGCGTGTTCGCCTCAGGAGGCACCGAGGGGGGCGGAGGAGGAAGCGGGGGCGGGGATGACTTCTCCATCGAGCGGGCTGTTTCGGATGCCCTTGCGACGGTCCAGAGTTCTAGCCCCAGTTGTGAGTCGGCTTGATTTGGGTCGTCGTTTTTTTGTTTCCCCCCCGTGTTCGGTAGTCATAACGAACCGTGGAAGACACCCCTTCCCCCATGTCGGAGGGAGTAGCGGGGAGGAGGGCACGACGGACTCCTATGGTTTCGTCCTGAAAACTCGTTTTTTTCTGTCACCGAGGTGCTCGCCGCGAGCGGGGCGGGAGGTCTCCTCTTCCTCTGTCGTCTCAGGCCTTTCCTTCCCGTTTGAGCTTCCAGCGCTACCGCTTGCTTTCTGAGCCGAGCGAGGAATGCAGATAAAGAAACGGAGTCAAGCATTGGTAGAAACGGCGCCGACCCGGGCGCCCAGAACGAAAGACAGAATGGTCCTTCGGCTGCGCCGTGAGGTAAAGATGAATGTCCTCGGCCCCCGAGTTCTCCCCCCTTGCCCAATGTGTCCCACTCCCCCGCCACCCGCCACCTACGCGCGCCACCTCTCGCTTCCGGATACGAGAGCAGACCTGCTCTTAGCGTCGCTGGACGCGGCGCGCTGGGACCTCGCCGGCACCGACAAGAACGCCAAGCGTCGCCTCAGGGAGGCGGCGCGGATCGCGGACGGGGTGCGGGAAGAGCTGTCGAGCGTCGAAGGTAACAGGCGCGGCGGGCATGTGTGTGTGTAGGTGCGTGTCGTTTTTTTGCGCCCGCGAAGCTCTGCGGTGTTGGTGTGGTGTGGTGTCATCCTGTGATGTGTTGAGTGATGTGTCGTGTGATCTTCTGCGTGGCCTGTGGCTCAGTCTTCTTGCTTGGAAGAGTAGGGTCAGCTTGTTTCGTGCCGCGCTATGTGCGCCAGCATTCGGTCGAAGGGCTGTTCGCGTCAATTTCTTGCGTTTGTTTATTGGCCCTCCCCCTTCCCTATCCGATCCTCTCCGATACTTACCGGGTGATGTCGGGCGGGGCAAAGAGTGTCGAGGGCTGCTCGTAAGCGTTCGAAATCGATCGGTCAAACACGGCGCACGCGCCCCCCACCACCCCTCCCCTCCTCCACGCCCATTTTCCCCTGTCTCTTGGTTGCTTACTTTTTCCCGTTTTGCCGATCTTCCTTTTTCTTGTTCTCTTCTGACGGACGGCACCCGGCGAAAACGTACAGGAATCAACGTGCTCGACCTGGGGGGAGAGAAAGGGTCGGCGGCGGGATGCGTAGGGACGGATCCGTTGCGGCTTACCGTGTCTTTGGAAGGGGGCGTCGGTGGATACGAGGCCGACGAAATTCTCATTGAAGGTGAACCGGTTTGTGGGCGAATGAGAATTTGGGCCGCGCGTAGGGAGCTCACGAGCGGGGGTATCATACGTGCCCTCGTCTGCACAACATGCAGTACTACAAGCCGCGCTCATGCCGTCGTTTTCGGGCTGGCTCAGACCCGAGGTCCAAACCACTGCAGAGGTCAAACACGCATTTATACCCGTGATTTGTATCCGCGCACGCATCGCCTTCGGAAGCGTTTGCCGGTTTTATTCTCGATGAGACTGGTGTGTTTTCATTGATCAGCCGATTTGCGCGGTTGATGCTATTGAATGGTAAACACACACACACACACGCACACGCACACGCACATGACTTCCCGTCACGGGGTCCCAGGTCGTGGCCCTTCGAAGCATTTTCTGTTTTCAACCGCACTGACACTACGCTGACGTGTCTTTTCATTGGTCAAGCCGGTCAGCGCGGTCGATGCTAACATTTGTAACACACGCACACCCTTTCTCCCCGGCCCCCCACTGTCCGCGTGTACGCATGCATGCACAGACTTTGGTGTGTACGCGGAGCTCCCGGGTCCGGACTACGTGACCTTCGTGTTCGGTCCCGGATCGACCGTCGAGCACGGACAGAGGCTGGCGGAAGCGCTGCGACACGTCGCGCTGTGAGTTAGGTAGAATACTAGTTCGGTTTGGCCCGGTCTCGCCCCCCACGGTGCGGGTTGTCTACGTTACATACGTGTCGCGTCTCCCGAGCACCAAGCAGCGCTTGCTGTGTGTTCGTCGGTCGTGTGATCGTCTATGATTGGCGAGCAAAAGGCCGCTTACCCTTGGCGATTAAGGGCGCTTACCCCCGCCCTGAAGCCCCGTGTATGCTAAGACGAGTCGCCCCCCCCCCGGTGTTTGCCGTCGGGGTTGGGTTTTCGTCGCTTGGCAACGACGTTGTAAAACATGCCGCCGAGCCCGGTGTTGGCCATCGGGGTTGGGTTTTCGTTGCTTGGCAGCGATGTTGTAAAATCAGCCATTCACTTCGTGAACTCGGCAACCAGGTTACCGCTTTTTTTTTGCCTTCGTTTTTTTTTTTGCGGTAACCATGAATGGTGGTCGAGTAGATTATGTTGTGCGGGGTCGAGAACCCTCACTCCGCGCAAAGGGGATACTCGCACGTTGTGTTGAAATTGGTCAAGCACCCTCGAGGCAGTTACACAGCGCTTACAACTGTCTCTGGAAGTGAAACACCAAAAAATAAATTAAGTCATAAACACCAAAAAATAAATTAAGTCATACGCAGCTGTCATCCGTAGGCAAGGAAGTAAGCACAAGATGCCGAACACCCTTAGCAGGATGCAGCTCGCCCTTCATGCGACTCGCCGAATACCTCACGGCGCTTCGCGCTTGGTGATGTGAGAACCTGGTCCGGTGAGAACCCGGCATGCTCCGTCCCGGCTTTGTAGGGATGCGAGGTCAATGGTCTAACGACTACGGCATGCACGACTATGAGTACACCCCCCCCCCCCGCTCCCCTCGCTTAAATAGACCTGGAACCTACAGCTGGTGTTGTAGGTGTACCTGTGAACTTTATGCTTTCTACTCTCTTCCCCCTCCCCCCTGCGCCGCTGAATGATTTATTTGGGTGTTCCAGTCTCGAGGGATACGAGCTTGCTGACGCACCCAGCCTTCCTTGTCGTGTGTCGTCCAACCGTTGCACCAACCCACGACCCTACAACTATCCTCTCAGGGAGGCAACGTCCCGGCAGGGGTCGGGGTCGGGGTCGGTGGCGGCAGCCGGCACGGCACAAGCGGTGGAGGCAACCAACACGCCGGTGCCCCCCCCTTCGAAGTTGATGTGCACGCCTCGGTGAGGAAGAGGCTATTCTTTTGTTGTTTTTTGTCTCTTCAATTCAAACAACGTCAACAACTTTTTTTTTTTGCGTTTCAGTTGGTCAAACCGGTGCGTTGAGGGGCCGGAAACGTGGGACTTCTGTGTAGGACTCCCTTACTCCCTCCCCGGGGCGCTCGCTGTCGGTGCAGGTTGTACCGAACACGTTGTCGATTGATCGATGACGTTGTGAAAGTCTCGTACATGCCTTTTTTTCAAATTAGGGCAGACATTTCGACGTCTTCCGGAAGATGAGCCTACCCGAACGTTACAATCTAGCCACGGCAGCAGCCACCCCTGCTTCGCACGGCGATCACTGCCGACAACGAATCCCAGTTTTCTCGGTGTCTTACATCGGCCCCTCCCTGTCTACTCCTCGATGGTGCTACCCGTACCCCCCCGCAACAGACCCCGCCCCGTCCCTCAACAATGGTCTAACGCTTACGGCATGCGTTTACATCAGTACCCCCGCTTCCCTCGTCGGCGTTACGTTCGTCACCATGGTTTTCCAGAGAGGCATTTTTTGCTCCGTCCAAGACCGTCAGCGCGGTCGACGCGATCGGGCAGGCCAGCGCAGAAACGGTGTGCCCATACCCCCCAGGTGGGTCAGTCAGCTGGTCGCTTTTGGCGCTCGCCCCTGCCGCGTCCGCGCGCGTGGGTCTCTATCTTACCGCCCAAAAAATCAAGCCGCCAGACGCGGTTGTTCAAAGGTGGCGAGCGCCGAGCCGTCGCTTTATACCCCTACGGCACCGTCGGCGAAAAATGATGAAACAGCAGTTGGGCCTAAAAACATACTTCAGTGTACGTACTTGGCACGATGGCCCCGCCCAGATTGATTAATGTTTTGTGCGACTTTGTGAGCTTTTTGTTTTCACCCCCAAGGGATTTAAATGGCTCCCTCTTACTGAATCACTGCCGCGCAAAATCTGCTCGATGTAAACTCTGTGTTTGTGTTTTGTCAGGTATTCCGGCGCTGCTGCCTGGCGAGGTGATCACACAGGCGGCGCTGGACGCTCTCGCGGCCGTCAAGGAGAGCGGCGGCGTGATCTCCGGCTGCAGCGATGCCACCCTCGCGACGATGAGAGTCGTTGCCGACTTGGTGCCCTCCGAGCGCCGGTAGTAGTAACAGCAAACGCTTCTTGCTGTCTTGTCTACTTGGGTCAACTTTTGTTGGTGAAGGGGAAAAGCCGCAGCAGACGTTTCGTTGGCACAACCGGGCACTACGGGAGCTGTAGATGTAGGAGTCGTCGGCCCGAGAGGATGGTGAACGCCGGCGCTCGTAACGAAATGTGTCGTGTTTTCGTGACTGGCTCAGCTGCGCGGCGGGTGTTCAAGCACGGCAACAAACCGCTCGTTGGATTTCGTCGGCACTATGAGGGTGCTGCCCTCATTCCGAGCACCGTCGAGAGCGAGAGCGCTGTTTCATCTCTGCTACAAACTCCAGGTCGGGGGTCCAACCTAAAAGGTTGTGTGGTGAGTTGCGCTGGCAGCTTGTTTCGTTTGACCGTATCACTACCGCTGTGACTTTTAGCTGTAATACTGAGAAGATTAGCCCTAAAATTGTTTCTTTGGACACTTGAAGTTTGTGCTGCATACGGCGCCAGCAGCATGTGGCCATTTTTTCTTCTTTGTCTTTATTGTTTGCTCGCGCTTGAACGTGTGTGCGGGAACCATGCACCATTGACTTGATTAGGTTTAATATCATCGCGAAGAAACAGAAAAGACCAACGTAGACACTCTCGAAGGTCGTGCCTCGTCTCTGCTTGTTGAGTGTCACGTGGTGAGATGCACCGGAGCGCTCGATACCCTTACTTAGTGGTTTCCGCGTTGTGGAAGCGGGTTAGAGGAGCAGAGGCACACGCTCTCTTTGCTTCCGGTGTCATCCGTTCTGAATAGAGATTGCACAGCAGTACAAGGCAGTCGTGTTTTTTGGCATTTCTGTGTCCTTGAGCGCAATGTGGCAGGAGTCCCGAGAAAGTCGAGCTGCCCGATCGCATCTTGCTTCGATTTTGAGCCCGTTACACACACACTTGGTCCGGTGGCGGCGCACAGCAGCTTCAAACAAACGCCTTCTCAGCGCTCGTTCTCTTCGCAGTATCAGCCTGCCCTACTTTTCTCCCTCTGTCATCGAGCTCCCAGCACAGATGGAAACCGTATTCCGTAGAACCCCCTCCTCGACACCTTATGATAATTCAAACGTAACCGTCTAACACCTTCCTTGACACCTTACTTACCATCATTCAAACGTAACCGTCAAAACCCCTCCTGAACACCTCGCCATTCAAACGTTACCTTATGTTTCTGATCAACCTCTACGCCACCTCTCTTTGATACGTGTCAGTGTCAACCCAAACGTGGACTTAGGTCACACAAAATTCTTGATCGACCCTCCACCCCCCCCCCCCCCCCGTCCTTTTACAGCCATGGGGCAAAAAAATGTTAACTACCTTTGCATGATACGCCTAAAAACGTGACGAAATGTGCCTACTGTATTTACTATCTAATCGTTTGACAGCAGTAAAATATATTCCAAGCTTTGGAAAAACGACGTTCCCTCCACTCTTCCAGTTCTTGCCTGCAGGCATCACCACTATCTGCCTTGGAGTAGCGACGCTCCCTCCACTTTTCACCGGTGCCCCAGGAGCTAGCGGTTGGAGTCACAAGCATCTCTAGACCATACATAGCGAACAAAAATAAATCTCCACCTTGCTCCATCTACCGATGATCCACGCGCGCAGATGTTGAAGAAAGTCGTTAGCCTGAGAGAGGGGACCACGAGACTTACCAGATACACGCGCATAGTTTATGTCAATGTTAACTTGGCTATGTTTACATGGACGGTACAGTACACATGTAAAAGTAAAAATCTCGCTTGGTTACCCGAGGCACAAAAAAGCTCAAGGGATTGAGTGAGATTTCTTTCCAAACAAAACGCAACCGATTTACGACAAGATGACACACACATTCCGCGAAACCAAGTGACAGTAGTGGTAGGGAAAATGGCACATCCCCCGCGACACCCTGCAATGCTCCATCTCCGGTACACCCATTCCAACGCACCTGCCTTCCGCACATCGCCGCCATAAGCGTTGAAGCGAGGACGAGTCTATTGGCGTCGACCATCCACTCTAAACAAAGCACGCGAGTAGGACAGATAAACCAGCGTTTGTACCGTCTTCACCTTGCACTGGCCGATCGACCCCCCCCCCCCCCCCCTGGGCTAACGACTAGGGATGCACAGCTATGAATACACACACACACACACACACACCCTCCGGAAACACGCGTTTACATGCCTATTGCCGGGTAACTTCGACTCTCCACGGATCAGCGCCGACGTGCGCGGTGGAAGAGGTTTTACTACCAACCCTACCGAGAAAAGCGGCAGCAGCAGACTCAGGATCCAGGTTTGTACCGCCGTTGGCGCACCCAGTGGTCCTCCTAGCCATGTCGGAAAGGCGGGCGGCGGCACCGGGGCCAGCAGCGGCGGTGGCCGCGATCGCAGAAGCAGCAACGGTACTAGGAGCAGCGGCGGCGGCAGCAGCAGCAGCAGCAGCAGCAGGGGGCGACAAACTCCTGTCACCGAACAACAACCTGTCCAGCGCGCACAGTTCCTCGAACCTGGCGCTCCTCATCCCTGCTTGTGCGTCCGCTAGTCCTGCCTGTGCGTCCGTCATGCCTCTCCCGGCGCCGCCGGTCGCCCCGCCTCCCAGAGAAGCAGCAGCGGCGGGAACACCGCCGGAGGCATCATCCGCCGTGGAAACAGAAGAAACGGCGCCGTTGCAGCCGAAGATCGCGTCGAAGCCGCCAAAGGCTCCGCCCCCCGGGTGCTGCACAGGAGTGCTGCCGTACGAGAGCCGGCTTGGACCCTTGCATGTTGGCCACGGCATTGCAAGGGACCCTTGGGGCGGCTCTCGGCGCAGCTGGAATGGCCCGTGGTGCTGCGGGCCGAAGTCAGCGGTTGCGGCCATGGGTCGTGATGCGCCCGCCCACCTGTGCATCGCCGCTCGCCGCGGGGGAAAGTCTGCGAGACCAGGCGACCACGAAGAAGGCGGCGGTGGCGGGGGCCGTGGCAGCGGTGCAATCCCAGCCCCGTCTCGAGCAACCGCGTGCGTTGGAGCACGGACCAAATCGCGTTCTATGTCATTGCCGGCACTGGTGCTGCTGTTGCTGCGGACACCGTCGGCTGCGCTGGCAGCGGGCTCTGCCTCGCCGACGGTGCTAGGAAGCACGTGGGAGCGCCGCACAGCAACGGTAGGCGTGCTGCTGCCGGTGGCGGGGGTCGGCATCATCTGCGCCACCGCGACCGGTATGGCGGCGGAAGAAAACGCAGGCCGGATGCTCTCGCCGTCGTAGCGGCCGCGGCCTCTGAAGGCCGTCATCTGCGTGGTATGCATACCACCAATCGGGGCGACACCGTTTCCGTGGTAGCAGCAGTAGGCAGGCATGCTGCTGGTCATTCCATCACGCGCGGGGCTCTGATGCAGGTGACAAGAAAGAGGCGCCGAACACGCAGCTGCGGCACACGGAGATGAAGGCGGATCAGCGTTGAGAACGAAGCTGGCGGCTCCGCCTGGCGTGCCCGCGTGGTCCGTGTCGGCGCCGCCGTAGCGGACCAGCCCGTGGGGAGCACTGCTTGCTCTTCTTGCCATCTGCCGACAGGAAGAAGGCAGAAGAGGGATCACATTCTAAGGGAGAACCACCGTGCTCGGCGGAAACAGAGAAGGCACGACGAGTGCGACATCGAGTGGTTGAAAAAAAAACTGATTGGTGCAGCAGTGCTCGGTTGCGGATATCAAAGAATCTGGCGCGGGAACGGCGTTTGATTGCCGCTATACAAGGGGACGGAAGGAGAGGGAAGTTAAGGTCGCCGCGTGACAATAGGACACAATTTTGCAACACAAATAAATATCTCTGTATTTCCGCTCGTGGAAGGTCAATGGCGGGGTGTTCGTCAAATAGCCTGTGGACAGTCACGAAACACTACTCAGTGAGTGGAGGGGCGGGCGGGGGTTTGCGGGCATTAAACAAAACGCACAATGAGTCCTTCCTCCTTGCACTAACCTCTTTGCCCAGGCTGAGCCAACTTCACCATATAACAATATGACGAAAATCAATCGGCTTTGGGAAGGGAAAAAAGGCGCGTATGTATGTAAACGAGCTCTGCTCCAAGCTCGTTGTATATAATCAAACATGAAAGTCGGTCTACATGATAGAGTTTGATAAGCTCGTTGTACATAATCAAACATGAAAATCGGTCTACACTATAGCGTTTGACTTTACCGTTGGTCCCCCGTCGCCGAGGACCCGACGGCGAAGCAGCGAGAGGTGGTCTTTGAGGACGGCCTTGGGCAACTCCGACGACGGCTCGTCGAGCAACTCCCCGAGACGATCCACGGCTCGTGTTTTGCCTGCGATCTGGCGGTAGGGCCACCGCGATATCCCGTAGTATCGGCACAGCTTCTTGAGCGTCGTCGGTGAGATACCGATCGCCTGAAACGAAACAAAAGGATGACAAAAGTTGCGTTTGATCAAGTTTGCTCGGCGTTTTGATGGAGCGACTTTCCCGCATGCGGTAATCAGTCGCACTACTGCTGCTGCTGCCAAGAGCAAGATGATACACCTCCCACTTCTTCTCCTTAGTGAACATCACCAAGCCAAGATGGTCTGAGAACGGGATCAAACGGGGATTCCTTTTCACAAGAAAGCGCAAGCCTTTGACACCACCAAACAACACCATAAAAAACGGTACGAGGAAGGTATCCTTGCAATATGTAGACAAAGTGTAGAAGAAGTAAACATCGGTGTAAGCGCACTCTGTAATTTTGTTGAAGAAATTCTCTTCAGCCACCAACTACCATAACGACCGGTCGTTGATTCGCATCTATCTAAAAATATCATAGGTTGTGCACTTGAAGTATTCACGCCGATCCGTGTATATTGCTCTATCATACCTCGAACAATACTCCAAATATGAACACCGGCTCTCACCTTTGCTGCCGCAACTTGAGTCATGGTCATGAAGAGGCGGAGCTTATCCTTCGGCACTCTGCGAGCTATGTCCCGGAAAATTTCTCGACGCCCCAGCTTCTCGCTCTGGTAGCGAGGAGGGGTTAGTGTGTCATCGGTCTTCATCGAGCGGATGTTGCTGGCCGCTACCGTAACAGCAGGAGATAGCCTCTGGGACTATCAGTTGTTGTGCGACGATGTGTCGGGCCAGACAGACATTGTTGTATCGTCTCAGAAAGCGCCCGCGCCCCGATTTGCTCGCATTTCCAGGTGCAGCTGGTGGTCGTCGCGGAGTCGAAGAGACGGGGCCGTAGAAACAGGACTAATGGATCCCGTTACGGATATTTGAGGTGACAAGCTGCGACGTCCTCTGACGTCCCTCCTCCGTCTATTGACGTCTTTGACCAGTTGCTTTTTGGCTTCAGCTCTCGAATCAGCAGCGCATGCGCCGCCTTGATACACCCCGATGCTTTGGTCGAACTATAGTTTTCTTCTGCCCATGTGGCCGTTTTCGCCATGGTTCTCTACGTCCATTAGCCCAGCTCCACGGGTATAGAAGAATACGCCCAATACCGTCGCTTCGCTCCCCTTCCGAAATTACATGCTGCAATCGCAAGCGGTTTGCTGGATGGCGGTATTGTCAGCCCCGAACCAAGAGCAACTGCTGTAGTATCACGAAAGCTGATCTTCAAGAGTAGTACTGTAGCCCATGTTCAATCCCATTTTCTCCTGGTGCAGCCCCGCGACCCGCGACTTCGCTGTTCGACTCCCCGCAGCTGTGCTGCCGAAAGCACGCCGGACCGGCGTAGGTACTGTTGGAACCAGCCAATCGAACGAGCGCTCGAGAACTTCGCAGCAGGAAGAAAAAAAAAACTTTGGCACCAGCTCCAGCTCCCACGTTCGCAGCGCAAGCATTGGGAGTGATTTGGTCTTGTCGTCAATAGTCTAAGGCCATTGTCACAATGTGCGATGAAATAATTTGCGCGTCGTCACCTGGTTTACGAAGAGTGTCAACGGTGTGACGACATTTTTGCCCTCTGGTTTGATGCCGAGCTTTTTCGATCAAATGCGGTTCACAGCGATCGATATTTATTTTCGTTCGCGCATTTTTCGGACACATACACGTACACGCCGCCTGAGCCATTAGAAAGAAAGGATCCAGTATAATTGTGTCCCCAAAACTGAAAGTAAAACTTGTTACCCAAAACAAGGGTTATAATTTTTTTTATGTGAAGACAACAGTTATCGATCGAGATTTACACAAGTCAAACGGAGGTGTTTGAAGTATTTTACAGCAAGCAGTGAGTGGGGATGTGCCTATTGCTGCGCTGTAGCCTAAAACCATCAACTGTCTGCCGTGTTGTCTGTCATTGGAAAACAATCCCTCTCAGATCCGCGAAAGTCTCTGAAGAAGGCGTAAAATGAAACTGACAGTTATTCGCAGCGATGCCACTCCGTCGCAAGACGAATGACTGCTTGTAAGCTCATATTTTCTTCATGATGTCACTGCACAATTCTGTCATTTCGACCCTCGCTCAACCTGTGCTAGCAACACGTAGAACACGGAGTAAATTCGGGGCGTCGCGTGCTTAGCATGTGGTGAAAGAGCAACGAGAGCAGGGTGCCCTTTGCAGCAAGCGTGCCCGAGCAGTTGCACTGTGGATACGGGGCGAGACGAGACGAAAGAACACATACGCCACGTACATCTCAGGGTGTCCGGGATTAGTTGCCGGCGTGACCACCGTTCGATAGAGACTTTTCAATTTTCGTATGCATATCAGAGGGAAGGAACTCGACAACACGCGGCGCCGTATATCAAAAGTTTCGCTGAAGGTACAACGCGTGTACGTGCGATAGCACAACAGCTCACGTGTCGTTGCTCTTCCCTTCCTTGGGGATGCCACCCACCCGAAGCTCAAATACGCTGGAGAGAACAATTCAACAATAAGACAGCAGTGCTTAAGTCAGAAAAGTCGAAAGTACTGCCTAACAGTGCATTTGAAACGGTGTCGACGAAGCACGTGCATCGCACATAGAAGTGCCGACGGACGCATACACAAAACACAACAACGCTCCATACAGTCTTGCGTTCTTCGCGCGAAGCCATGCAGAGTCGAGGAACATCTCAATACAGAAGCAAGCATCCCACCCGCGCTACGTGGTAGTACCACAACGAAACACCCTTTTCGTACACACGTCTCGTCCAGACACGCCTTCGCCCCCAAACTCCTTTACTCCGATATCTGTATTCTACGTTGTTAGCTAACAACCTGCCATTGCCCGCATCGTAGGCGACAAAAAGGATAACTCTACTTGAAGTCTCTAGGCCACCGCTACTGCATGTAGCTATCTATACTTGAGGCCGACGAAGGAATGCTTACAATTGCCCTGCTGTTAAAGCCCCGCGTGATGCCGCCGCGACCAAAACCGACCTGTGAACAAAGCCCCGGCCGCCGCTAAACCAAAACTCCCACCGTACGCGCTGCAACCAATCTCACGCCTCCTCCACACGACTGAGCCAAGCTACGCAGCCCCAACCCGCCGGTTTCAATCCCACGAGCTGCGCCAGGCGACCAAGCTGGGCACGCGTCTTTGAGCGCAAGAAAGCTAGAAAAGGGAGCATGCTGCCTCTTGAATTCAACGCAAAAGACGTTAAACATGTTCCTACTCGTGTGGGGAGCAAACACTTCTCGGTCCGCCCCAATCCACAGCCGGGATGCAAGCAAACCTCGAAGCAAATCCCGCCCTCTGCGTCGCCGACGTATACCGTCTCTCGACAGCTCTCCTCCCGTCCAAACAAACCACCACACGGCCCACGCTTTCACAGCGGCCAACCAACCCCCCACAACACACTCCACAACCATCACCCCCACCTCAGCGCGCCCTTTTTCCTCTCTCCACAACAGAAACGAAAACACACACGCACGTACTCCCCAACGAGTCAAGACAATAGTTTTTATACAACAAGGACGGACCAACTGACCCCCCCCCCCCCCAGAAGATAGTATCTATCATACCCTATCACATGTATCTCTCTCTCAGGCCTGGTTTGGTCTGACCTGGAGCCCAAAGATCTTGATGTTCTGCACGAGGTTGCCGAACGTTACCGACAGCCTCTCCGCCACGTCGAACCTGAAAGCCGCCCGCTTCCTCAGGGAGGCCACAAGCAGCGGAGGGAACGGCGAGATCACGACCCTGGCCTTTAGCGCCACCTGCCCGTTCACGATGCGGATGGACTCGATCCGCGCCCCTTCCCCCATGTCGACATCGAACGTCTCCAGAGGCAGGAGCGGGAGGGACAGCGACCCGCCGACATTCTCCCAAAACACCTCCGCGTCCTTGAGGTACACCACGTGACCCTGACAGAGCGGCGGGGGGGGGGGGGGGAGTGGGCGCGGAAGGAAATATCCAGGAAGTAGGGCGGGCGGCCGTTTGGGGTGAGGTGTGAGGTATGGGGCAGAACTTAACAAGGGAGGCGATGCAGCAGCAAACATCCAGTCAGCTTAAGAGAGAGGCTACAATGTAGATCGGTCTACCTGGCTCCGCGTGTTGTAGCAGCGGCACCATCGGTTCAGCTTCACGCTGCGTCGAGCATCCTTCTGTTCGACCAAGACCTGGGCACCTTACAACACTCTCTTGGACTTTTCGGGTTTCACTACAAGTATGTACCCCATGAAAAAAAAATCCTGGGCGGCTGGGCGTCTGACGGACGCGGTGGAGATCACTCCTGCTGTCTAACCCCAGCAGCTGAAGCGTCCAGAGAATATACCGAAAGGCGCAAAGGCCACGTCCAGAACAATGGGTTAACACACAAACCCTCGAAACATACGCTTTTGTCGAGACTCTGGTAGGTGCGGGTTCGAAGGAGGCACACGATTGCGGACATGGAACGACCATAATATCCACGACCACGAGAGAGAGCCCTACTCAGGACGCTTTCGATGCTTATCGGGCGGGTCATGGCCGTCGCTCTCCTGCTTGAGTGACAAGATGGCCTACTCAACACTGGCCTTGTCGTCAACTCGCCCGTGCTCTGTACTCACCCTTCATATACTTCGATACAGCCGGCCCGTTCGAACCCTCCACTCGCCCATCCCCGCCCATACACATGAGGTCTCAAAAAAACTTCACGTACCAAACCAAGAGACGAAAAAAAACTCGAGCAGCGAGGGGCATAAGCTTACAAGTTACTCATTCTGGTGGGCAACGTGACATCCATCAAGGCAAGCACAACACCTTCGTCCCTCGCTCTTGCGAAGAAACGCCTTCCGACGGATTAAACCTCACCTTTCCCTTGACCCCGATGCTCGTTCGATACGTGAAGGGAACCTTCGCACTATCGTAGGCCATCTCCCCCTCGATCACCAAGCGGCTGCGCTTAGCCAACACTTGCGTGATCGTGATACTACTCTTGCGCAACGGCTCCGTCGCCAGGGTCTGGGTCGGACCACACGACACATGGAACACACACGTTGGAACAACAAGAGGCCCAGACGAGGAAAGCGTTCAGAGATCCTTAACACAGTAGTACCATACAAGCATACAAGTGAAGTTTACGTGAAGGAGTGTACTTTGGGCCTTTGGCGGTAACGGTCACCGGAAGACCTCCTACTCCTCACAACACGCCGGAAAAACAAAAAAGACTGCACGAAAAAAACGGTATCGCAAACAGAACAGGTTCGTCGCTTGTGGATACTGAATCGACACGTTTTATAGTGGTGCGGCAACAAATCATATCCCTACGCACGCGATAGAAACGTCTTGAAGAAAAAAAGACAGCACCAATAGGCAAGACAGGAACGAACCAAAACACGCCTCCTGAACCAAGTGTCACCTCGAGCTTGCGAAGAGTGGAGTTCATCATGTTCGTCACCAGTCGTCGCACCATTGAACTTGTTGATAGGTCTTCGCTCGTCAACACGTACGAGCCTTCAATCTGCGATGCAAACGAACAAAAAAGAGACGTTATTGTGTACACGTGCACGCGTACCCCCCCCCCCCCTCCCGTCCCGCCGTCGGGGGACCCCGTGGACTGCAACGCATGTTTCCCTTGAAAATAGTCAGTCGTTCAGCGCGGTTAACAATGAAAGGACGGACGCTTTTCCTCACAGTCATTGTCAGTTGGCTTACTCTAAAACAAAAAGTGCATAGATCGTGCAACGGATGAATGGGAAGTTGTGTCTCATATAAAAAAGAACTGCGGTTCCTTCCCTCAAAAAGATGAAGCGAAAGCTACATAGCACCAAGCGCCTGACCAGAAATCGAACCCGAAGACCGGTTTGTACGCAGATCTACCGCATCGGTCGCATCGTTTGCGCATTCGCAGTTGCCACTCTGCATCCAGATACACGAACAAAAGTGGCCAACATGGTGAGTCTACAATCTTAGCTTCTTCGGAAAAGCAACCCGGTCGGGTTAGTTTCCGCAGACTGACAGGAGAAAATCGCGGCGTACTATTGTACCGCCGCTACAGCAGAAGCCCCGCTTCTCCCATTTTCGCGCTACGCCTTACATCAGCTTTGGACTAAAACAGCCGGGCCGCTCACCTCGAACGGCTTCTTGAAGGACCCGAACCGTTTCCAGAGCAGGGTCATGACCTTGAGGTCGAGGTTGGTGATGTTCATCCTCGCGCCGCCGCTGATCTGCAGGTTCTCTAGCTCCAGGTGGTTGAACGTGATCCCCACGGACTGCAGGAGGCCACTCATGGCCTCCCGGTTGCTGCGCGCGTCTACGCTCACCTCGAGCCCTTCCACCAGCATGGCGCGGTTCGTGATCGCCCGCTCGAACACCCAGACCAGGATCTTGCTCCACAGCGGGTCCTTCGTGACCGCTCGCTCTACGTCGGCCTTCTCCATGGCCATCCTCTCCTTCAGGGGCGGCAGGATCTCCATGGGCTCGTCAGCCTCGAGGTTAAGGAGCGACGGGGGGGAGACCTTCGGCCGGGGGTACGCCGTCGACTGCGGCCGGGCGTACGCCGTCGACTGGGGCCGCGGGTACCGGGACTGCAGCTGCTGGGTCGTCAGGGGCTGGAGCATCGCCCGCTGCTTCGGGACCCCGGTCGCTTGCGGCCTCCTGTACTTCGATGCCCGCCCGCCGCTGTTTCTGTTGGCGACGCTTCCTCCTTCCAGGACGGCGAACGGCCGCCACATCCACTGGAACAGCTGAAGGCCGTCTCTCCGCTGCCCTCTCTCCATCGCCGCCGCCCCCGTCGCCACCGCCTGCTCCTGCCGCTTCATGCCCGACCTGCCCGCCGTCAGCACCCACCGCACCAGAGACAGCAGCGCCTGGAAGGCGGCCACCGGGGTACTTACAATGACGGCGGCCGCACTCCGGCCGCCGCCGTCGCCGCCGCTGCCGTTGGAACGGTCACGGTCTCGACTACGATCGGGCTCGCTACTCCCGGCGGAGCCGGTCGCCAGCGCGCGCAGGCCCACTAAGGACGGCCGCGAGCGAGAGAAAAAATCGCCGGCCCCTCCGGCGCCACCGCCGCCGCCGCCATAACTGCCGGGGCTAGGAAGAGAAGAAGAGACTCGGCCAGCGAGAGACGCCATTGCTTCCGCCGCTGCTACTGCCGCCGCCGCCGCGCTCATGCTCCACGGTCTCTTTCGGCTCTGCGCCATCACGCAGGTATCCGCGCCGCCCGCTTCGGAGACGGCCCCGCCGCTGAACGTAGTGGGCTTGGCAGGAGCAATTCGAGACGAACACCTGCTACGCCGCACGCTCCCGCCCCCAGCGGCGCCGCCCCCGCCGCGGGGGAATGGGTGCCGTTGGTGTTGGCGGTGGCAGCAAGAGCGGCTGAGAGAGGGGCCCAGCGACGCGACAAAGGCTCCCGTTGCCACGCGGGAAACTCTGCTTTTCCGTCGCCTGTCTCCTGAGGAAACCTGCTACATGTAGTACAAATTGTTGAGCAATAAGTGTCAAAACAAAACCTATTATATAACCAGAGTAAATCAATACCATGTATTACATACAGAATTACTTTGCGTGCCTAAAACAAGGGCACATTTACGAGGTCGAGAAAATAACGAGCGTGAAAGAGTGGCATGGAAGGATAAGCACCCGCAAGCACGTGGTGTGCGCTTCGCAACAGAGACGCCTTCTTAATTTAGATTATAATTTAGATTACGAACTCGGGAGCAATGCGACTATCAAGATAATACGAACATAATAATTCAGCAGTTAACGCGGCAATTAATTAAGCAATTATAATTAATCAATCAACAGCAACACCAGGCAGCAGTCCCAGTTTCGGTGTAGTGGACCGCTATGTACGCTTCGTGAAAAACGATCACCAGCACAAACTATTGATCCCCGGGGCTAGACAGAAAATGATCAATTACGGTAGTACCACAAAACGGAGAGACTATTGTAACGACGGGCCAGCAGTTGCACGTTGGGCAGTCGAGGAATACTTATATCTTGTATCTATGGGCTGCTGCTATGAGGGACAGCAATGAAACCTGACCCTTACATATCTACCGGCTGCCTCGATCCAGAGGTGTAGCTCTACATAACGTTCACGCAGTCAGGCGGCCACGACCGTATCCATCAGCGGTGCAGAGGACGGTTTGGAAAAATTAAAATTACTAAAGGGGGCGTCAGTCTGTGCGTGTGCGCACGCACGTGACTGAAAGTGTACGTAAGCATCTACGTCTGCATCTGGACACATGACACATGTGCATCCATTTGCATACCCACGCAGAATTCCTTCCCTGTCTTGTCATGACACGCCTTTCTTCTCTTTGATGCATTGCGTGCAAGCAGAGCATGCCAAACAAACTGAAGTCACCACCACTGCAGGCATGAACCCGCAGACAGCAGGCGGTGGTTGTGTCCTCCACAGGTAAAGGTATGTAGGTGTCTCTTCGTCCTTGGTGCCTTTTGTACGCAGCAAATCGAGAGAGGACAATTTGACTAGGAAAGTCACACAAGCACAACACTCAGATTTCTGTGCGAACGTATCAGCTGGGAATGGCGCATCTTGTGGGTCGCATCCCGCGTTTCGTCTGGCTGCTCCAGCGGCCACACCATGGCCCCTGGCTCTGTCTCTGCCCATCTCTCGCGCTCTTGAACGCGCACCCAGGTTTGATAGATCGATGCACATACATACGCCTCCGCCATCAGAAGCAACATTCACCACCAAACGGTTTCTTGCGAAAGAACGCAAAATGTTTACTTACTAAAAACACACGACCAAAAAAAAGAGGCGCAATGAGCCCTACCTCACGAGTGAGTGATGTTGTCCGCAACAACGGTCGCGTCGCCGTTCTGTTTCTCCCTGAAGCAGGAGAGTTGCTGCTGCCGGTGCTGCTGTTGCTGCTGCTCCTGCTGACGAACGTCTTCCGGGCCGCTTGCGCACGCTCTTCGGTGCCAACGTCCGTGAACGACTTCCCGGCCGCCGTCGCCACGGAAGAGGACACCACGGCCGCAGCGCCAGAGGTCACGGTACCGCCGCGTCCGCTCGACGTCGCCGCTGCTGCTGCGCCAGCGGCGGGCGACAAGACGGCGCCCGCCACCGCCACCGCTCTCGCGCAGACCGCCGAGAGATGGAGGATGCCCATCACTTGCATGAGGAGCGGAATTGGCACCTTGCCTCGCGCACCTCTCGCCCCGCTGTGTCGACAGCTGTACGGCTTAGTTCTCTCGCTGTGTACTAGCACCATCTTCCCTCCGACGCGCGCGCGCTCGCTCTGTCTCTCTCTCCTACGCCCGTCTCTCCTACGCTCCTGTATCGGTTCTATCACCTACCCTCTGCTACATTGATGTGATGCTCACCCGTCGGAGGGATGGCCCAAAATTGGGGGCTCCGCGAGCTGCATTCAAGTTGGTCGGGTGTCGCTTCAACTGCCCCTCCCGAGTAGCCCGCACAGCCGGGCTGGTCAGTTCCGTCGTTCACCTCCGACCTCCGACCCTCCGACCCCCAGACTTGCTGTGTCGCGTGCGCGTGAAAATCGCTGCATCCGCTGCTGCTGTTTGTAATATCTTCTGTACGACCCAGTGCCGTCTTGGGAGAGAAGTCGTTTTGTTGGTGTGCAAAGCAAAATCCACGAGAACCGGCTTCTTTCTGCTACGTTCATGTATTGGGAACAAGATCGCCCGACAATTGTATGAATGTCTCAGACTCTTTTCTATGATAGAGATGGTTTCGTTGTGTCATAAAAAAATGAACATCCTTTGTGTATCAAAACATCAAGTCTCAGTTACAGGAAACACACGTACAACACAGATTGTCTACGTTCGAGATATAAACTCAATCGAACGGGATGTGTTGGAATCTTTGCAGTGAGTTAATTGACGGAGTGTTTCCCGAGGACATTTTATTTGTTGTTGTTGGCCCGGCAGAGATCAAATTGCATCACACCATGTAATCAATTCCTTCGTGAGGTCTGATTCCGACGAGGTTGACACCCTGGTTGTGTAGACTATGCATGAGAACACGGCATTGATTGAGAATTATCTCGAAACGCGTAGTCCTTACGCGATGCCATATCATAGGACATGAAAATTTCCAAACAAGGCGGTGGTACTTCCGGCATCTAGAACGCGCAAGTTCTGGCGTTCAACATCGAAAAAAAGGTTTGACTCCAAGCATATATATTTCGGGAAACTACTTGACGGAGATGTACATGTATCTACATGTCTATGGATACATGTTGTTGTTGTGCGACACGCGACTGTGCCAGTCAGTCTCGGATTCCTGTGGTCAACAAGAGCGAAGAAGTTCGATCCCACAGACCATAAAACGTTACACGACTATGTTCGAAGTACGTACCTGCTCATAGGACATAAAAAGAGGGAAGAGATTCACACGGATTTGCAGGGTATTTTAACAGTACATAGTTCAGTCTAGACTCGAAACAAGAAAGTCAACCATCGCTGGAGCAGCGAGGCACACTCAGCACACATACTACATCTGTCCCGCCCCAAAAGACGCAAGGCCAAAAAAAACTTGAGCCCGTGCTCCCCTCTCTCTCTTCAGCCTAGCTCTCATCTGACGCATCACTTTGAATACACTATATCAGGAGCATGACCATCACCACACCACCGTTCAATCGAACAAGAAAAAACGTCCATCCTCAACACGTCAATCCCCAATCACCAGCCCCCGTCAAGGGCGGCCCTCTGCGCGTCCTCGTCCATCCTCGCGTAGCCCCCCAGCTCCATCGTGAAGCTCGCCTCCCCGGCCGACAGCGACCGCAGAGTCGTCGCGTACCCCAGCAGCTCCCTCAGGGGTACCCGCACCCGAACCTCGTGCCGCACCCCCACCCCCCGCCCCCCGCCACCGCCGTCACCTCTACCTGCCGCCGCCGCCGCCGCCGCCGCCACTAGCTCCGGCCCATCCACCGACCGCACTTCCGCCCGTCTGTTGGCCGTCAGGTCCTGCAGGACGGCGCCGACGTGCGCCTCCGGCACCGACACCTCGGCCTCCATCATGGGCTCCAGGAGACCGCCTCCAGCCTCCCGGGCGGCGCGGGCGACGGCGGACGCGGCCGCGAAGCGGACCGCCCCCGGGGTAGTGGCGCGGTCGCCGAACTTCCTCGCCGCGAGCACCCGGAGGGTCAGGCCGGTCATAGGATAGCCGCCCGCCGGCCCGCGGCGGAGCGCGTCGTTGAGCCCTCCCAACAGCGCGTCCATCTGTGGACGCAATCCCCCCCCAAAACAAGAAAGTAAAAGAGTGCGGGGAGTGTGCGTGGGGGGGGGGAGGCGGGCGTTGAGCAACATGGGTTTGTGTGGAGGACACAAGCACGGATGGTATTGTCAAAATTGCACGTTGTTGAAAAACGGGGCACGGCAGTGTTTCCAACCAACAGCGGACGGGATCTCCGATTTCGACCAAACGCTTGGCTCCGCCGCATAATTAGGTGCAATATCGGCTGGCTCGTTCTGTCGAATGTCGGCTTCCAGCTTGTCTCCGAACTGTACCAAAGCTGAAGCGGTACGCTACGCCAGTGGTGGGGCAGCCGGCGGGCAGAGCAATTACCACGCGCGCGCGGGAACATGTGATTTGTCGGCCGGTGAACGCGGTCGATCGCGAAAAGCGAGAAAGCACGCAGAGCTTATTGACTTTTTGACAGCGGTGTTTGCGGTCTTCATCGCAACGTTGACAGACCGATGCGTCTTCAATCCGTTGTTCAGCCGGCTCGCCCGGTTAGAGGTCTTGGAGCAAGGGGGCTACAAAACACACGATGCACACGCAACACGCGTTTTTAGTCCGCTACAAGACCGGGGCACTTTCAATTCGCTTGACGCAATCGATGCTACATACAAGTAGTTAAACAAGACACGCCCACGCAACACGCACAGAAAAGCTCTTGTGGCCCCAATTAAATACTTGAAGTTCGCATCGCCCACGCGACAACGCACGCACACCTCGTCTTTCACCAGCCCTGCCTCCACCTCCGGCGAGACTTGAACCTCTGGCGCGGATGATAAGTCGTCCGTCGGCGTTACCCTGATCGTCAGCCCCGCAGCGATTGTCTTGCCGCCAAAAGTGCGCTCGTAATCCTCGTCTCTGCGCGTCGACAAAAAAAAAAATGAAACCGAAAGTTGCAAGAGACGTTTAATATACTCCAGGTAAGTTTCCAAATCATATCTTGTGAGGTCCACCTTCCACCCAAAGGGGGAGGGGGAGGGGGGGAGGGGGGGGGGCTCGTGATCATGAATACTGTCTGCAGTTTCCCCACGAAGATTGGGGGCAGGGGGGGAGCTTTCGCTCGATCGCGGACGCTGACTCACATCTCGGTCTCCTCTAAAATGCCCTCCCGGTAGGCCACGTAGGCCTGCCCCGTCTGGACCTGGACGCCAAACTCTCTTCGAAGCCTATCGCAAGCGACCTGGCAACAAACAACCAACCAAGTTTTTTGGGGGGGGAGGGAACACAAAGGAAGACAAATTTTACGTTTGTTGAAATTGGCGGCTGCTGGGGTGGAACTTGGGTTCTCGCAGTCTTGCGGACCTCACCGAGAAAAAACAAAAAACGTAGGTGAGTCCATGGCTCCAGCGTGGCGCACAGCAGTACAGGCGATGGATGCCCCGGTTGAGGATTCGGGGTGGTCTGAAGGCGACGACGAGAATCGAGCAACCAATGGTTATGGTCTCTTAATTGTTCCCGTTCACCCAGGCTGGCCCAACCGTCATCGTGTTTCGCCTCCCGTGAAAAACGTCGAGCAGCCAACCTCCCCGCCAGAAGGAAGAGCTGCGTGTAGACACGTTAGCCAGCCACGGCTCATGGTCGATTCTCGAGACGGGTCGAACATGACATTAACACGGGATTCCATAGTTCTTTTTCTCACTAAATAAATCCTGGTCAAAGTTGGAAGCGACGCGCTGCAAAGACTCGTTGTTAGTAAACTAGATCGACTTCATAAGTCGCGGGGGAAGGGATTGCTGTACCCTTCTCGCCATAAAAATATCTCAGGCAGGAACCGCAGGAGGGGGTCCAACCCCCCCCTCCTATGTGACCCCGGTTGGGTCGTCTAGCTAGTAGAAGTGGAGGATGGGGGCCAGAGGGGCAGACGACAGAGTCCAATGGTGGGAGAGAAAAAAAAAGAAAAAAGACATCAACATCAATATGTAAACCGGGATGCACGTCAAATAAAACACCCACGCGCACGACACACCCAATCACGCATACGTTGAACTGCTGTCTACATGAAATAATCTTGGTGGGTGAGATTCTGATTTTTCTTCCGTCGGATTTTGTCGTGGGCACCTACAGCACATACCTCCAGGTGTAACTCCCCGATGCCCTTGAGCACGGTCTGGCCGGACTCTTCGTCCACTTCCACCACCAGAGAAGGGTCCTCCCGCACCATGTGCGCCAGCGCCGCCTCGAAAGATGCCTGCACCGGGACAGAGTCGAAGAAGGGGGATGCCACGGCAGGGCGAGGGGGGGGGGGGGGCGTAATCAACGTCCTGCCCGCCAGGGGGGGGAGGTATGTGGGCAAGGAACAAAAATAAAAAAAGCCTCTCGAAAAGACGGGGTCCGGCGCTACGGATGTGTGTGCGTTATTGTTGGCGGGAGACGGCGTCCCGCAGCTACAACCCAAGCATGGAGTCTGATCGCTGCTGCGGCTGCAAACGTTTTTGGTACTTCATCGGGGTTTGAGCGAGCCAACCAACACCACATATAGCTATATCGTTGGTTCCTTTCCCTTCATATCTTTCGTTAGAGCGGCAAGGCATCATTCGGGGCCTGTTTATTTGAAGTTTTCACTCACATTGGGTTGTGGCCCGCGACACCTGAAATTCGTCGTGCTCACGGCTTGGATCAACACGGTGCAGGAGGCACCGGATGTAGTTGATCAAACGAGTTCTTCTACCGTCAACACAACAACCACAACCACAAACCCCAACCACGAACCCCCCCCCCCTCGCCTGCTGGCTGGACGACTCCGCCTCCACTGCCAAGGAAAAGACCGGAGGGGGCACCGCGACTCCGTCCAGCTGCAGGCCCCTCAGCCCCCCCCGCAGGCCGACGAAAGTGTCGCCGGTGGCTGCGTGCGGCAGTCCCACGGCCACCGCCACGTCGCCCGAGGATACGGAGTCGACCATCCGCAGGTCGTCGGCCTCGACTCGGAGGACCTATGTGTAGTGCGTAACAGCGGCGGCGTCGATCGGTGGGTTGAGTTTCTGCAAAAATGTGTTTAGAGAGGCTGGTGGCGGCAAGGGGGAAGGCAGCTGGGTAGAGGGTACATGTGCACGCCAGTGTATGAGGCTGTGGTGACCGGGCTCTCGTTCGGCCCCCAAGTGTTCTGGGAAAAGCAGCCGACAAACTGATGCTCATTTTTCGCCTCAACAAGCCGCCGCCCCTGCCCCCCCCCCCCCCCCCCCACCACATAACA